TATGTTTACTGCAAGCTATTGCTAAGAAGTCAAACATAAATCTTATGTGTCCCATGAACCTCGGCGTATGCGTTGGTCCTAGCTTGTTATGGCCCAACACACCCTGTGACAAAGCTCCAAAAGCAGTGCCAATGGTCGTAGAACTACTGATCGTTAAAGCAGAAGCTTTGTTTGGACCACAGATTGCTGGTCTACTAGGCAATGGTAATCCTGAGTCTTCAAATGCGTTACTAGACTCTGGAGCCGAGGAAAGCGATAGCCTTCATTCAGTCGGAATATCCTTAGACTCTATGGAACTATCAACACCACGTAAGGAAAAGCTATCGCTAAGCCGAGACTCAGGACTGACGCTCTCCGAAGATGATTCAAACAGTAACGGTGGAAACAGCCCCGCTCCTCGAAACATCCTCCACAGCATGTCTGCGCCCACGTGCAATATACAGCAAGAATCTAAGTTAGTAGTGCGATACAATATCGATAATCATAATGTAAGCGGTTTGCCTCAAGTTAACCAAAGGCAGAATATTTATTCCAACAAAGCGGAACTCTACAGTACTGTTAATGAAGAGTTATATACTACGCCATATATGGGAGAGAGATATGTACATAATTCCATTAATATTGGTATATCGAATGGTACAGATGAAAGAAATTATATCCCAAAAAAAGGATTGCAACGTTCGACAGCTGATATTTACGAACAAAGCCCAGCTAAGTACATTACGGGCTTAGAACCCCAAAAGCCACCAAGAAGTAATGTTTCAAAGGCAGCTCGAACTTCAAAAGTGTATAGCATGTTTGCAGATACTCAAGAAGCAAACAAAAATATCTCTAACAAAAATTTTAACAGAGCTAAGAGCTCGGACAATCTCTTAGAATCAAAGCTAGAAAATATCGACAGTAAACGAGATCTGGTTTCTAGTCAAGAAAATATTGTGTATAGTAACATACACGATTTAGCCATGTTTACAGAAAATATTCAACGACAGAATCAATATCAATCACAAACAGAAACAATTTCAAACACGAATTACGCTAGAGTGTATACGGGTTGGGAAAAGAAGAGTGCCAACTATACTAGCAAAACGAACAACAACAATACGGAACATATATACGGTCAGATGACGAAGAAACAGGAAGAACCATCGCAATCAAAAGCGGACGTAAGTTTAACACCGGCAGCCACCATTTTTACACGAAATGACTGGACTCGTCAAGCAGCTAGAACAAAAAGTTTAGAAGTTAGCGAAGAAGTCCTCGGAAACACAGACAAATTACGCAACGGCAGCTATGAAATAACAAACAGTTGCAGGAAGAGACGGTTTGATCCTGCACACATGTGCACTAAAAGTTGCACCGCTCAACCGGCAAACAGAGAGCAAGAGAAACAAACTCCTAATCCTTTACAAAACTCGTATTCGTATGTCGATAGCATACAGAACACTAACTCAGAAGACTACAAAAAATCAAGGCTACGCAATTACAACACGAATAAATTAAATCAATCAAAATCTTTGGCTAATATTATACTTCACAGTGATTCGAGTAGTAGCGACACGTTGTACCAGCCTCAAAATTCGTTCAACAGTCGATCTACGGAGTCACCGGCAAGCGAAAACTCCTTTGAGAATTGTTACACCACCCAATATATTGAGCCCTTGTATACCTCGGTTTATAACCGACGAAGAGACATTTTTCACGACATGAAATCTTCCAATATGTTCCCTTCTGATATCTACAAAGCTACACCGACTGCCGTCAAACCCGAATACAACATCTCGGAATATGAACGCAACAATAATAATAAGGCTCCTCCCCACATGCCTCCACCTGTACCACCAAGAAAAATGGTGTATCAGAGAGTGCTCAAGAAGTTTCAACCGGTGCATGTAAATAAAGACGACAAGAACTCACGGTCTAAATCTGTACCGCGTCTGTACAGGGAACCATCTAACGGCACCGATGCGAAAGGCCAAAACAATATTATAGCTTTAGAAGGCTCCGAGTCCGATACGGAGTCCGAATCCTATGTTTAAACCTTAATAAACTAAACACAAAATTAATGTAGGGAATGATTAATGGAGACATTTATTGAAATTATTAATAATGCGTATCCTACGTGTTGAAATTGAAGTAACCATGATTTATGTTGAACAAATTTGTTATAGGTAACAATGAATTAATCTCGGTAATATTTGAATGAGTATGTTTAATATCTACTGTGTTTCTAAGACGGTAAGACGACTATGAATTCATAGCAATTATGTAGATAATATCTAGAGAATCCCGCCTTAAAAATTATAATGTGTGACCATAACCAGAGTTGTTTTGGTGATTTAATTCCAAAGACGTAAGAATAGTTTCAAACTTAATGGTATAATGTAGATGAATGTAAAAATGGGATATAACTTTATTTTGTCGATCTATTAATGTAGGACATATTTATGCCAATCATTCGCTTTTAAATTTACTTAACGTTAGATATTTGTAACGACGCCCATAAGGACCGGTTCACACGTGCGATCCGACGAGCAAAAATGTCAAGCATAGGAAACATCTAGGTACGAGTGCATGGACTAGCTAAGTCCTGCAGATGGCGCGTACATGTGAGCCGTTAATTAAGGTCTATATAATTATGTGTCTAGCGCTGTATCAAATGAATGAACCCTTTGGGTATAATCTTATAACTGATGAAAATATTGAAATATAATATTTGACAATGTAATTAATGAATGCCTGCCGTGTATATAATGTAGATATATTGTACGTACATTTATAATAAAATATATTAAATGGTTTCGTTGACGTTTTATTTGCAAACTCCTCAGTTTTAGAAGAAATAGAAGAGTTACATTATTTATATTAAATAAAATTGTAGAATATATTGTAAAGTACCCCTTTATGTAAAGGGTTGTGATGTAGGTATGAAAAAATATTAGAAAAATGTCTATTATGACCCACCAATAATGAAAGAATCATTATAATCGTTAATGATTTATATGTGAAAAATATTGAAGATGAACCGACCGACTTCAAAAAGGTTTTGGATGTATGGTTGCCCTAAACAAAATAATATTAAAACCTAAGTAGATACCATACATTAAACCATTTACAATATTGTGTAGTCTTAGTATCGGTAAGTAATATTTCGTTACGGGCTTGTGGCTGCGACTTTTAAACTAACGGGAGTACAATGAATACCAGTATATTTTTTGGTTTTAGTTTAATAGCAATTATTAGGTACAGGGACTAAGTGAAGGTATAACACAAAGTAATAGAATTGCATCTTAGATTAAGACATTTATCTTCTATCTTCTATAATCAGGTCAAATTAAGAGCCTCAAAGAATAGGTACTATTTTCGATTCATATCTCTTTGAATTCCTAACAAAAGAAGAATTGGTATCTTCCATCACCAGGTCATCGATATGAAATGTTGATCATCAGGCGTAAAGGGTTTGAATAGCTTTATGAAATTCTAAGAATAAACACAATAAGTGCTCAACATTTGACGGTTGCTCTCGATCGCCCTGAGATCTCATCATCAGATATTCATCAGGTGGCAGCAGTACAAATATTTTTTGTTTTTATGGCCTAAGCCGGTAACCGAGCAGACGGATCACCTGATGGTAAGCAATCGGCGTCGCCCATGGACACCTGGAACACCAGATGCGTTACAAATGCGTCACCGGCTTTTTGGGGATTAGGAGTTTGAGGATCGTTGGGGATTCAGGGATTGGGGAAAATGGGGAAGGGGAAGGTAATTGGGCCTCCGGTAACCTCACTCACACGACGAAACACAACGCAAGCGTTGCTTCACGTCGGTTTTCTGTGAGGCCGTGGTATCACTCCGGTCGAGCCGGCCCATTCGTGCCGAAGCATGGCTCTCCCACACTTAAAATATGAAGGTATACCCAATATGTGTACGAACAAAAAAGAAAAATGCATATCAAACCAGAACATAACATAACATCACGCCTTTTTGTCCCTGAAGGGGAAGGCAGAGGTGCACATTACGGCAGTTAATGCCACTACAATGTAACACCCACTTTTCACTATTTATGTTAAGAGTCCCATGTAATAGGGGTGAGTCGATTGCCATATACCGGGCACAATTCCAGACTCCGTGCTGCTACTGAGAATTTTATAAAAACTTAGTAACATTTTGCTCGACCCGGGAATCAAACCCAAGACCCCTTGACTGGCAGTCGTACTTCCGAGCACTCGGCCAACGAGGCAGTCAAACCAGAAATTTTTAAGTAATCTACCTCTATGTACAAATGTACGAAGTATCGTGAAAATGACATCGTTCAAAGTACATAAGTATCTATTTATAATTACCATTAAATAAAAACTACTGAACCAATCTGAAAACAATTTTCATGGGACCTCAGCTATTCCCCGTCGAATAAAAATGAAACAATCACCTAAATAGGTCAATAAACTTCGGCGTAATCGGGGTACATACCTACAAAGAAAAAAACATACCAGCCGAATTGAGAATCTCCTCCTTTTTTGGAAAGCGGGAAAACTGTTCGTACAAAAACACATTTTCACTGGGTAATATAAGATATTTATTACATTTTGTAACAGTACATAATTAGGTTTACAATGAGTTATTCATTGAAATTATAGAAATCAGGCAATAAATTGGATTCAAAAAACTTAAAAAAACAATACATCACGAAAAAAATTATTTTGTGTAGGTATGTTCTGCATTGCGGCAATGATTTTTATTGTTAGTACCTATAAAAATCGAAGCCGCAATGTCCAAAGAAAATTATTTCTTCAGGTGTTTTTAATATACAGAATTTTAATGACAGATGCACAATACACTTACAATACATATTTGAGGATTATAACTTTTCTTAAATGCCTTATTTTGCTTCTTTAGATTTAAAAACTTTATTTGCTTACCCGAAAAAAAAATACAGCTCGAATAAATTTTTCAAAAATATTCAATAACGTACCTACATAGAAATTATTTAAAAAATCTCCACATCTTTAGAACAATAAAGGCACTGATACACATACTTTGCAATAACATGCTAAAAAGCATTCTGTTGAATATGCTCCATACGAGCATTCTCATGAGCAGTTCACATAATATATTTTGCTAGCAGTAGGCATGGTAGTTTTAACCATGCTCAAAGACTTATATACGGCATTAAAAAGTTTATTTTTCTTCTTTTGCGACCAAGTCTCTAAAGGTTTTACAAAGATTGGCATACATATTTATTTTTAAAATAATGACAACCAAACTTATTTGTATTCAACCGACACCGCAGCGCAGGTATCATTCTTAAAAATGCTGTCGATGGACCGACATACATGCTACTAAATGACAAATGCTTAATTGAAGCATGCTTTCGTGATTTTAATTAGCAAGTGTAACAGTACCTTTAGAGTCGTTAGAAATGAAGCAAGAAAATTATACAATTCTTTACATCCAAATCCTAGGGGTTTCAGGGTGTTCGGCCGTAAGCGCGAGCACCAAGACGTAAGTAGTCAGTGTGCGATATAGTCGAACTAGTTTACTTCTTACGTTGTCCTCCTGGCTCATTGTTTTCTGGATAGTTCCAAGGTTGTGTTTCGGATGTACCGAATATTATGAACCAAACTGCCGTTAAAATATACAACAAAGAACCTACTAGGAATACTAGTCTCCATTGTGCGAATCCGTTCTGGAAACGAAATCACCATGACAGATACCTACATTGTTCGTTTTGAATAGTTTTTTATTATTAAGTAAATACGTTGACTTACTCCGTCTCTTGTAAAGTAAGCAGTAACCAATGGTGTGATGAAGCCAGCAGTATTTCCTACACCATTTGCCAAGCCGTATAATGTGCCAGCAAAGTTGGGCGCCAGGTCTTGATGGTTCACCAGGTTGGTTAAGCAAGCTGCACCATTTAATCCCAAGGAGAAACTGATCAGTCCCACTGAAAGCATAGGTCTACAGCCAGCGTAGCCCAGTGCGAAGAGAAGTAATCCCGGAATGATATGAGAAAATATAGTAAAAAACTTTCTCACGTATATTGTTCTCATTAATTGCTTCTGGATAATTCTAAAATAAAAGGTGAAAACCACTTCAGGTAGGTTCTGTACGTAGAAACGACGTAGTTAGCTCCCACTCTTAAACTTTGATTAGTTTTATCTAAGATTTGTATTCTTATATGACAAAATAAAAAATATGTGTCGAACATTTTTTCATTATCTTACTGACGTACTAAACAAATTTTAAATTTCCATACCCGTCATCATCCCTATTATAAGAGACACTAATCCTTTGTAGGCAAATAGTAACATGACTGTTACTATTTGCTTATAATACGGACAAATCTATTACCATACACCGCTCTTTTTTACACCCAGACTCCTTTTAGAAAGAAACAAACTAGCCAATGATACTATCCAGCCATGAAATATAATCACAAGATAACGTTAAATTCAATTCATTCGTTTAGGCGTGAAAAAGGACAAACGGATACATACTCTTTCCCATTTATAATACTAGCTTTAACCAGCTTCGTCCGCCTTCCCGTGAGATAAAAAATAACCCATGTCTTATTCCAGACCATAATACGACCCTGTTCCAAATTTCATCACGATCCCTTAAGCCGTTTTGACATGATTGAGCAACAAACATACAAACTCGCATTAGTAAGATAATCAAGATGCGTGAAAATATGATAGGGTTTTTAAATATTCACCTGTCACCAATATATCCAAAACCAAGGGCAAAGCACATTCGACAGATGTAAGGCAATGATGATAGACCGCCAACGGATGAGAGGTCGAATCCAAGAGCGCCAGATATGAACTTAGGAGCGGCTGTCATGATGAAGTAAATACCCCAGTCGTTGCCGTAATGTAGCACCACCATAGCCAGGTAGGGAAACGATGTCAAGATCTTCTTGAACGGTGTTTTAACCTATAATCAAAGAATCACGCTCCAAACAATTCCGCTACAGTATATATTTCCTATAGGTAGGTTCTAATCTAATCTCGAAAATGCTGGTAACGTACTTTGACTCCTTTTTTATGAGACAAGCCGGTAAACGAGTAGACGGAGCACCTGATGGTAAGCAATCGGCGTCGCCCATCGATACCTGGAAAACCACATGTGTTACAAGTGCGTTACCAGCCTTTTGGAGATATTAGAGGTACGTCACTCATAATCATAAGACGAAACACAAGGTTGTTTCACGTCTGTTTTCTGTGAGGCCGTGGTATCACTCCGGTCGAGCCGGCCCATTAGTGCCGAAGCACGACTTTCCTACACTTTGGTGTTGCAAGTGTCTATGGGCGGTGCTCTTCACTTAAGGTAAGCGTCCATAGGTCCACATAGCACGTAACAGATTTTAGTTTGCCGTACATAAAAACTCATACAATAGCGTTCACTGATCCGTCGTACGGATCGCTTATCGGCAATGTCTACATCAGTCAATAGACAGTCAGTCAATCGGTCAATCAGTCAGTCAGTCCGGACATGTTCTGTTATAAATAAGTGATTTTATGTGTTGATGAGTTATTTAAGGAAATACGTGTGACGTTGATTTTTTGTAGGTAAGTATACTGATCGAACCTTCTGGCCATGGGCAATTTTATCTCCAATCGCATTTAAAATATATTCTCTCTCCCCTTTGGAGATACGAGGATGTGTTCGAGGAGAGTCGTGCACCAAATATAACCAAACGAAACACCAAGTAATGCCTATCAATCCTGTAAATGAAATATTTCAGAATTAAGATTATTCTCTAATATGTATAATGATTATGGGAGTAATTCATTATTATTATGATATTTTTTATTTATTTATTTATTTATCTATTTATGCACAACACACAGACAGTACACAGGAGAACATATATAAATATTTTGGAGGTACATAGGAACTACATATTCCCGAAGGAATCTCTTCCTGCAGTCCTTCGACAGGAAAAACGGTAAAAAAAGAGACACTGTGCGTAACACGACATGAAATGTGTTAAATAAATAGATCACAATAAAATACATAGACCTATACATACATATGATAGATACACATCAAATAATACACATATTAGAGTATATTACAAATAAACATATTATACATATATATATATATATAACACTAATTTGAACAAGATGAGGAAAGGTAGTGCTCCCTTACGAGTCTTTTAAAGATTGGGATGGATTTAGAATCACGGATATTAGGTGGTAGGGAATTCCAAAGTCGCACTGCATGAACAGTGAAGGAATAGGTGTAAAAATCAGTATTGTGTGAGACAACAGAAAGATTAGATTTAAGATGAGATCGGGAAAGAGCCTCAGGAGGGCGGGCAAAGGAAAAACGTTCACGAAGGTAAGAGGGATAATCGGGATTAAAAAGTATGTTGAAAAGAAGACATAAGATGCGAGTGTTCCTGTGAAGTCGGATTGGGAGCCACTTGAGTCTTTTGCGAAATTCAGAGATATGATCGTACTTTTTTAAACCAAAGGCAAAGCGTATACAGACATTTTGCAAGCGCTCAAGTTTATTTAGAAGCTCCTCCGTGGCATCCAAATAGCAAGCATCAGCGTAGTCGATCAATGGACGGATCAGAGACTGCATAAGGTTGATCCTCGTTTTCAGAGGTAGAAGAGACTGGAGACGCTTCAGCGAATGCAAAGAGAAATGAACTTTACGACTGATCTCGTTCACCTGTTCACCCCACGAAAGGTTAGAATTAATAAACACGCCCAGATTCTTGGCAACATCAGTGTAAGGGATAACATTGCCATTTAGGATCAAAGGATCAAGGGCAGAGATGCTCAATGCGTTGCGGTAAAACCTACCACCAATTATCATAGCCTTGGACTTGAGGGGGTTGATTTGCAGGCCAAAGGATTTGGCCCACTCGTCGACCCCACCCAGGTCACGGTTCATGGCTTCAATTGCAGAGTCGACCTCTGACAGCTTGAAATGACGGTAAAGCTGCAAGTCGTCTGCGTAGAGGTGGAAATTAGAAGTGATAACCATGGCAACGGTGTTAATAAAAATAGAAAAAAGAACTGGAGAAAGGACACCACCCTGAGGCACGCCAGCAGCGAGGTCACACCAATCGGAAAAGGTATCCTCTAGGCGAACCCGCTGACGGCGGCCCCGGAGATAGGAGTTGAACCAGGATAAGGAAGAAGAGGAGAAATTGTTGGACTTAAGAATACCCAACAGGACATCAAAATCTACGGAATTGAAGGCGGAACTGAAGTCCAACAGAACAAGAAGAGTGAGAGATTTATTATCCATGGCCCAGCGAATGTCATCTGTAACTTTGAGCAAAGCTGTGACGGTGCTGTGACCAGGACGAAAACCTGACTGGAAGGAGGAAATGAGATTATTACTGGATAGATAGGCCGTTAGTTGTTTGTGAACAATATGTTCCATGACCTTGGAGAGAAAAGGGAGAATAGAAATAGGTCTATAGTGAGAGGGAACAGAAGGTTTGGATATTTTAGGCAGGGGAATAACGTGAGCCATTTTCCAGGCAGTAGGGAAAGAACAGGAAAATAAGGAGAAATTAAAAATGTGGGTAAGAATAGGAGTGAGGAGATGAAGAATAGGGATAAACATACGAGAGCATAGATTATCACTGCCCACCGCTGAGGATTTCACTGCCAACATGGACTTTCTCACGTCATCATCAGTGACACTGCTAAGGACGAACGGAGAACAGGGAGGAAGTGGTAAACTAGAAAGATTGGATAGGGTGACAGATTTAATGGAGCCGTCGAGTGATACCGGAGAGAGTGAGAAGTGATCGTTTAGAACCGCAAGGTCTACGTCGTTGGCATCGGAAACAGGTGATTTACCAATGCCCACAGATCGCAAGAACCTCCAAACGTCGCTTGAATTGTGCTTCTCCAGGTTCTCCTCAAAATAGCGCCTCCTAGCATCTCTACACAGACGACTGCATCGGTTCCGCAGCATTTTGAAATTCGCTAGATTTTCAGCGGAAGGTCTGCGCTTAAGTTTTTGTTTCGCCCTGTCCCTACGACCCATGGCATCTTTAATTACAGAAGTAACCCACGGAGCTGGGTCGTGTTTAATCCTCACACGACGCACCGGTGCGTGTTTATCATACAGATCGTGTATAATTGAGTTAAAAGTGTCAACCTTCACATCAATGTCCCCAGCATCAATCACAAGACTCCAGTCAATGAGAGAGACATCATGCTGCAACGCCTCCAGATCCAGGCGCTTGTAACTGCGCAAATTAACAAAGCGAGGTTTTCGTTTAGGAGTGCGGATCCGGTATGATAAATATATTAAATCATGGTAAGAAAATGAAGCAGTCAGCTGGCCATGATCATCAACATGATCAGGTGAGGACACGATCATCAGGTCAAGTAAGGAAGGCGAAGAGTTAGGAGCATGATGGGTGGGTGAAAGAGGAAGTAAACTAAGATTAAAAGAGGTGAGAAGAGATAGGAGTTTATGTGAACGTGAATTTTGTTTCAGAAGGCATGTATTAAAGTCCCCCATTATTACAATATGGTCATAATTAGGGCACAAATTGTTTAACTGCATGTCAAGAGCATCAAAATAGTTGATATGGAGATTTGGACTATACAAGACAGCAACTAAAATTTTGTTCATGTTTATTGTGATCTCTACAAACATATACTCCGCCGACTCCGAGTAGGTAGACGGGGACGCACTAATCACGCGGAAAGGTAGGTCGGAGCGGACGTACATGGCGACCCCGCCCCCGCCCTTGCCTGTTCTGTCATTGCGGATTAAAACGAAGCCCGGCAGGACATAGTGCGTGGAAAGGAGAGAAGGCTTAAGGAATGACTCGGAAATCAGCAGGATATCAAGGTGAGCATTGCTAAAGGATGCCAGAAGATCGGAATAGTGGCCAGGAACACTCTGGGCATTTATGTGAGCGATATTTAAGTTTTTGGGATAAGGCGAAAAAGTGCAGGATAGCGAGTCATGCAGAGTGCATGACTGCGATGCCCCACCACCCGCACTGGCACAACTAGACTCGGAAGAGCATGAGAAAAAACTTTCGTTGAAGTCAACAAAATTGTCCATTATAGTGCCAAAAATATAAATAAACTAATAGTAATATTATATCAATGATAAAATACAGAAATATCAAAAATAAAAATAAAAGGCTGTAAGGCTGCTAATTACAAAAAAAAAATTAAATAAAATAAACAACCCCCCAACTTGCAGACATTTAGCATAAAAAGAGTAGAAGAAAAAATATTACAAGTTACGAAAAAATAGAGAAAATAAGCACCTGCTAAATAAAATAAAAATAATGTAAAAGTGGACTTACACAGCATAATAATAAGAAAAATGTAACAATAGTATCTAAAACAGAATAAATTACCTAATTAAAAAATAAACTTACAAACATAAGTAGCATTATCAAAACGCAACATCATTAAACGACAGTGACACAGATCACACAGATGACATTTGACAGATTGGTTTTGAAATGAAAAATGAAAGTGAATGTAGGTGTAAACACAATGTTTATCAACGAAATCGTGACATACCGGCAAAATAAAAACTTAATTATAAAATTATCTCAAAATTGTTGACATCTAATAAGGCCAATGGGTACAAAGTCCACCACCAGGGTCTACAAGAATGAATAAAAAAGTGTAACCTCGTATATGAAGTAGCACTTAGTTGTTGTTACGTCGACGCGCCTTCCTTGGGAGATATTAATGGTGAAAGAAAACGGTTCACCCTTGTTTGATCGAATAACGTTTCATATAATACATTATCAATTATACTCATTTAAGAAAATCATCACTTAGGACCTATAATATCGTTTGACAGAATTTTCAGTTCGTCGCATATTTATTTGTTATAACAACATTTGCGCTAATGATCAAAAGGTATCATGTTCATTTCATGTAATTTTCACATGGTGTTACATGTATTTTATCGAATATTCAATTGGTGTAATCTAATGCAGAAAAAAAAAACATTGCAAATTACATTTGAAAATGTATTTATTTTGAACAAGATAACAGTTAAACTAATTTAAAATTACTTGCAATTCCTTTTAGTACATCTAAATTTTCTAGCTAAATTTTGTGGGCACCCGACACATTTGGTTAGGTTAGGTTAGAACTGTGACCCTCAAAAGGCGCGAAGCGAGTGAGCACTGCCGAGCGCTATATTTCGGTCGCATTTCAATTATTATCATATCATTTAGCCGAACTATATTTAAATAAAATTAGTGCATTTGAAAATTCGGTGAAATTAAATTAGTTCAAATAAATAACTACGCTAAATAAAAATTTACCAATGAATTATTCGGTCAAATTAAAAATTCTTCGAAATGACTGTATTGCAACTAAAATTCGATTTAGTAATATTATATCAAACGTTGTTCGATCAAACAAGGGTAATTTTCGTGAGAGGATACATCATCAAATGACCTTTTCCGCCTTAAATGAGGCGACAGGTAGTATCAGACTCCTGCGTTTAAAATCGCCAATCCGCCTTGAGCAAGTATGGTGATTGATGTCCATTCCATCCCCGTGTGAGAAGCCGCTTTCGCTCAGCAGTAAGAATTTATAGGGTGATAATAAAATTTATCATTACGTCGACTTAAGACAGTAGGGAGATTTACCTTGGATGTAGAACGCGTAAGGCCATCCGAGAGCTTTGATGAGAGGTCCTGACAATGACCACGTGCATGCTGTACCAATAGCACCGCCTAACAGTGCGCTCACAAATTTGCTCTTTTCCTGCGGAGGCGCCCAATGAGCCAATAACGCGTGAAGTGATGGAAAGAGGAATCCCTGAAATTTGTTACAACAGTTTGTTTTTTCTGATCCACAAACAAACAAAACAAATGAGACTAAATTAACACGATGGTGGCCTCATTATTTGTTTAGAGTAGTTTACTAATGGCATGTCTAACAGCGCTGATTTATTTGCAAAACAACAGCAGCAATTTTGTAGCATTTGGCAAAGCGGTATAAAAATAAGGAATTGCGTATAAAAATAATAGAAAGAAAACTACGCAATTAAACAAAGTCTTACCGCTGCTAGGCCACCCACTACTCTGGACGCTAAGAGCATTTGAACACTTATCATTGCTGCAGGCGGAGTCAGTCCTGTCAATATAGCCGCGATAATCATCGTGTAGAATACTACCTTCCTCGGGCCGTACTGCTCGGCCACCGTACCTCCTACTACACAAGAGGTCGCATATCCCCAAAAGTATCCCCCCAGTACATAAGCTTGTTCCTGATTTGTCCAATTAAACGTTGGTGTGCCAGGTGGCTGCAAACAAACATTTCACTAATTGTCATTATCACCTGAAGATGTCTACTGCTGAATGAAAACCTCCCCTTGTCCGCAACATTCAACAATTATTGTTGTCCGATGGTTCCATTAATTGGACTGTGGTTAGCCATAATATCTATCATTAATGGGCTTTAAGAAAATCTTAGGCTGAATTGAAACCTGTCAATTTCTTTAGCAATAGACTTCCATCGACTGATAATCAAAATTGGGTTATTTTATTATTCGTTGAGTAATTCCCAACGAATTACTTAAATATAATCATAACACATAATAGAAAGCCGTCATATTTAAGTGCATGTTAATTGTATTCCTAAACAAGAACTTGGAAATATGTACTGTAAGGATGAAGTCATACACAACAATTGATTTATATAAGGCTTTGTCCTGAACTGAAAATCTAGGAATTACGCTGGAGCCCAAACCGCTCCTCGGTAAAGTCTGTAACTTTGAGGGTGCGTTCTTTATATGACGTAGGGTCAAAAGTGGGATCAAAGTTTGTATGGAAGAACTTGATTCCTTATCTGTTTCAAATTTCACATGAACATTCTTTGATAGAATTGAATAAGATATTTTATGAAAATTCAATGTCTAATTGGGTCAAAGAGGGGTAGAAAGATTTTAATTTTTGTAATTTGCAATCAATCCTGATTGTATATCAATATAAGGCGCTTTATTGTTTATGTATCAATATTTCATTATTTTTATATGCTCAAAGAATTACTAGAAAAAAGTTTCCTTTAATTTTCAATATTTTACAACTTATAAAAATATTAGAATCGATTAAAAATGATGCACTGAGGACCGCCAATAAAAACCGTAAAACTAAGAACTGTCATTATGATGTTACAATGGCGCAAGTTACATTGTGAAAAAACATTGGTGTTTTGTGTTTAATGTGTATGAACAGACCTCTATTTTTTTTAGTTTAGTACCTAGTTTTAAACATAAAACTTAGGCAAATATTTTAAAAATATCCTTAGGTCCCCATTCTATCCTTACTAAAACTAAAGTCATCTACCTTTTTTGGATAGGTTTAAATTGTATCGATTTTTACTTTGAACGTAAACTGGTGGTCACAAGTACGGAATTAAAGATATTTCCAATAAAGTAAGACTATGACATGGTCACCTAACTATAGGATTTAACGAAAATTGTTAGTTGAAAGTTGATGATAATCTCTATTTTGTGACATTTCATATTTTCCCGCCCAATCAATAGTGTAACACATGTCAAAATCGACTAGAGCAGAGAAGGTAAGTTAAACAGGTTTAATTGCTCTAAAAATTCTATTGTAGTTCAAGGTTCAAGGACGTTGAAAAATAGTTTTGGATGTTTTCTACTTACAACCAACCTTACCAACTACTTAGAAATAAAAAAACTGATACACTAAAGTAACTAAACTTATTTGGATGGAATTTGGTACTGATATAATTTAGGATTCCACATAAGGGAATGGGAAATCTGCGTAAAAATTTGGGGGCTCCCTATTTTTCTAAAAACTATTTGGGTAAAGTTAAATACTTAAAACCCAGAGAACAATTTAGGCAATTCTTTAAAGAATTCATATAGAGCATATAGGATAGTTTGATTTCGAAACTATCACAGAAACGGGAAATCTACGTCTAAATCTCTGTGTCTTAAAATCTGAACCTATTTGACTGAAATTCCGTACGATAATAACAAAAGCCCCAATAAAGGGTATAGACATGTTTTATCCCAGAAACCCCACAGGAACGAGAAGTACGCGTTAAAATCCCGGGCCACCATTTCTTTTAAACTACTAAACCTTGACTGAAATTCCGCACAATTATAGTTTAACTTTTCTTATGTCTAACACGTGGATCCACGGGAGACACAATGTATTTTCTATTGTGTCGCATACCGGTGCATTAAAAAGGTTAAGACCTGAGAAATGATCTAGGTAGGTTTTATCCTGGAAACCCCACGGGAACGGTAACTACGACTTAAAATCCCGGGACGCTATTTATTTTAAACTACTGAACCTATTTGACTGAAATTCTGTGCAATGATAGTTTGAGACTCAAGAAAGGACTTAGTTTTTATTCCGAAAATCTGACAGAAACGGGAACTGTACGGGTAAAACCGATTAGACTGCGTATCAGATAAATTTCGTCGCAGATTATCGTGAAATGCAAATATTGCAATGTTTTATAAAATGAAGATCCTACAAAACGAGACGTACGTGCGTAAAATTTAGAACTATAATTAGAGGTAGTTATATATTTTGAACCACATAATCTTTTATAATATCACAATAAAGGAAAACCAAAAGTACTGACTTGATTGAAATTTAATATCATACATAGAAATAGGCCTTGGAAAGGGGAATCTCAATTTTGCTTGATGTTATTAATGCGCGGACGAAGTCGCATGCAAAAGCTAGTTTAATAATATTACAGTTTACCTGCATTAGTTCAGATTTATTTGTTTGCGTGCTCTCACACTCACTTTGCTGCCTGTAAACCAAATAAACTATCAATACATAGTATAAAACAAAGTCGCTTTCGCTGTATGTCCGTATGTATGCTTAGATCTTTAAAACTACGCAACGGATTTTGATGCGGTTTTTTTTAATAGATAGAGTGATTCTTAAGGAAGGTTTGTATGTATAATACATGCATATTGCACCCGTGCGAAGCCGGGGCGAGTCGCTAGTTTACGATAAACGATGCAGATACAATATTTATGTAATACATTAAAGTAAGACGTGAACACTTTGAAGTCTATGTCATGCGACTATGTGTTTTTCGACTTGGGCGATGGGCTGCTGCTATCTAAGAAACTGGATCAATGAAGTTGAGTCTCAAATTTTGTGATTCACATCAACACAATTTATACATTTTTTTTTTCGTATATATTGGGCCTGAAGTGTGTGGCAGTGAATTCGTATTGAAATTGCTAAATCTTGATCAAGGAAATGTTTAAAATACCATACATCCACCAGATTTGGCACCCTGTGACTTTCTTATTCCGGACAAAACGCTTTTTCATTAACAAAAGCTGGTCATCAGAGTTATATATGGACCGTGTTCCTTTTAAAACGGTCCAGCGGTGTACTTTCATTGGCTATTCAGGACGATTTACATTGAGACTATTAGAGACTCACTTTTTATTTGTTATATCTCGAGGCACCATGGCAATGATATTGACACTAACATTAACTCGCATCATGTAGTTAATACCACAAGCAAAAAACATCATGATGGCCACGATGAACCGCACCGGTATGCCTGAGCCTGCAAATAAAGACATGATTATACTCCACATGGGATAGGTATGCTTCGGGACTAATATTTTGCGTCCGGACCGGAGTGATACCACGTCCTTACCAATGCTCGCGTTGTGTTTCGCTGTGTGAGTGAGGCAACTACATGAATGCAATAAATAATTATTTATAAAAGTTTTGCATAAGTAATGGAAACAGTACCTATTTCCAGGTACGCTATTATATATTATAAAGTCTTTCTTTAGTTGAACGTAATTGTCGATCTATATTATCTACAATTCTACATTAACATTTTTACAAGACTTACCTTTATCTACTGTTGTTGGTTCAGCCATTATTATTAAATTCTAACTTGAAATTTAACTTTATATTAATACACAAAAAATTTACTATTTGCCAAATGGACTGTCATCAATAATAAGTTGTCATTTCCCTTATTATACTCTTTGGTTGTCATATACATTTTAGATAATGGGAACCATGGACGTTAAAAAAACGAACCTTTTTTTCTTGGACTATTTGATCACTATGTAGTATTTATGTGAAAATATAGCAGCAAAAACGAAATCGACAACCAAGAACGTGGAAAAAAGGCATACCTACCCCATCAAATAGTTACCTAGAGCTTAAATTTTTAGTTTAGGAATCGCAAAGAAAATTCTAGAAGCGTGCGACCGATGTACAGGGTCACAGCCTTTGACCCAATTAATATTCTGAACGCATGTAGTTTAACTCTTAGTTGCTCCACATAGCTTGACGAGTCCATAGGTATAGTTTACCAGTGTTATGGGATGTCCTTCACGTCAATGTGTGTGTTGGGCGTGTAAGCCTTAATGCACACGGCGCGGCCGCCACAACGCTAGCGGGCCGCCACCGCGCCACCGCCACGCTTGCCTAATGTGTTTGATTCAAATCCATTCCATTAACTTAAAGTTATTATTTATATAAGACTATTTATTAAATCTTCAAATAATGTATAAAATGTGTACCTACTTTCTTTACATTCCCGGGAGCGGCCTACGGCCTGCCTGTTTCTGTTGCATTAAGTGCACACAAGTAAATATTATTCCAAGGTGAAATTCAGGCCTACACCAATATGCCGTTTTCCATATACTTTCCAAATCGAAAAATGCAATAGGGATTAGGAATGTAACTTAGACCTCATTGCGTCAAGAAGAAAACAATCTAATCAATTTCTAATGATGAAATAAAACGAATTCTCATATACAATAATTTAATTAATTTTATAAAATTCACATAATTCACTCTTATATCATCATCACAGTCACAAATAAAACAAAACCTTAATAGTTCAAGTAAACTTATAAAACTTGTGTACATTCATTAAATTAAAGTATTTATTAATAATTCGGCTATTTACAAATAATCATTACTTAATTCGAAAGTATGCAAATATCAATGTATGGAAGTGTCATTGACATACGGCAAATCATTAGTCAACCTCATAGGGCCGGCACACTAGGGCGGGACTGTGGTGGTTTTAACTTTGTCATTTCGTGTAACAAGAAACCGAATATAAGCTGCCGCTCAAGCGGTTTTATCCCGCATCTTAATCTTCATAAAATAAAATGTTACGAGGTTAAAAGCTGTCGCGGCTCGCCCTAGTGTCACCGAAGCCTAAATTCTATTCGAATAGACGAGCATGAGTAGGTAGGTCATCGCTTTAACAGACTTTTATAGACGAGATAGTAACGCAAGGAATAATTATGATAATTTAATGAGTCAACTAAAAGAGAGCATCTTGTAATTCTCCCACATTCTGTTACCAGGTCGATTAATAAATTATTATAAGCCCCTATCGAAACAAGGAATTCAATAATGAGAATGAAAATGTTAAGTATGAGCATTGGCTTTCGAATCTCCATTGCAGTATAAATTATCTTATCAAGACTTTTGTTTTCATAGAACATTAATCTATTTCTATTTATCTATTGATCCATCCGTATTCCAAGTTTATGTTAATAATATTGTCTTTACTAACACCGTCGTCAACATCGTGTTGGAACTTACATTAATGGTCAAGAAACAAATCTAAAGCTAATATAGCTAAAGTACACAATCTACAAGTTACAATTGATCGGTAAAATAATACAAATCACCAAGCACACTAAAAGTCTGGTGTGTATAATCTGATTCCAATATAACTAGGTACCGACTATTTTATTAACTCGCAAGTTGATACTTAATTTATTCATTTACTTATTATATATTGGAGATGTACAAAGTGGAATAACAACAATAATTCATTATATTGTGGCAAATGTTAAACGTACAAATTCAACAACTCAATACACAAATTACACCTTAGTAATGTTACTATTGAAATAGGATACCAGCTCTATCAAAAGTATCAAAAATCTATGTACTTGTATTGACAAATTGTGGACCAAGTAATTAAATAATTATGGCGATTTAATAATACAAACTTAAATACTACTTACGGATACAAATACCTATTCTGCAGACTTATGTACGCGTTACTTCTTGCATTTGTGTGCACTACTTAAATGTCGGCCTATGTCTTAGGTGAGATCGTCACAGTTGTATCTGTGGAACTAGAATTCGTCTGTCTCTTGTCTTCTTCTTCTTCAACGGGAGCGATGTAGTTCCAGGATTGAGTCTCGGCTGTGCCAAACAGAATGAAGTACCCGGCAGACGCAATGTACAGCGACGCACCCGTAATGAACACTGGCCGCCATTCTGCGAATCCATTCTGGAAACGAGGTTAGGAGGTGAGACACACTACTCGTTATAGAAATCTGCAGGTATCTTAAGGCAAATATAAAACTGCTGAATGGAGTATGTATATAAAGAAACTAGCTACTTCCGCGCGTTTTCACACGCTCTGCTCAGCTCCTATTGGTCGTAGCGTGATGTTTTATAGCCTATAGCCATCCTCGATAAATGCGCTATTCAACACAAAAATAATTATTCAAATCAGATTTGTAGTTACGGAGATTAGCGCGTTCAAAGAAACAAACAAAAAAACAAACTCTTCCACTTTATATAATAGTATAAGATAATGTTAAACGAACATATCAACACTTGAAATACTTACTCCGTTCTTGGTGAAGTGAGCAGTGACCAGCGGCGTAACAAAGCCAGCAGTGTTGCCTATTCCATTGGCAATGCCGTACAGTGTGCCAGCGAAGTTAGGTGCCAGGTCCTGATGGTTCACCAAGTTGGTCAGGGTGGCCGCCCCGTTAGACCCCATGGAGAATGTGATTAGAGCTACAGATAGGATGGGCGCGCAGCCCGTGTACCCTAACCCGATGAGGAGCAGACCAGGCACCACGTGGGAGAATAAACAGAAGAATTTCCTCATAAACGTTGTTGATACTATATTTTGTTTTACGATTCTGTAAACAAAAACACGCGTGTTACTTATCTAAACCTAAATCACAATTACATTATGGCAAAACGTTACATACATATGTAGTACTGGAAGTGGTAGTCTTTAAATTGCACAGTATGGAAATAGCCAACAGATTGCCGTTATCAAGTTCTTATTACGTAAGCAACAGGTGTTATATTCGTAAATCAGATGTATGATTAACGGTACATTTTATTATGTACATATTTAAATGAATTTACGTACCTGTCACCGATGGCTCCAAATATGAGTGAGAATATCATTCTGGCGAGGTATGGTAGTGAGGAGAGAGTGCCTGTGGAAGTCAGGTTAAAGCCGAGGGCACTGGACACGAACTTAGGAGCCGCTGTCATCACGAAGTATAGACCCCAGTTGCTACCATAGTGCAAGATCACCATCGCGAGGAATGGGAACGATGTCAAAATTTTTCTGAAGGGCGGAACGACCTGAAACCGAATATCGAACAAATTAAACACTGTCTAAAACTTGAATAGAAAATCGTCTAAAATAATGGTAAATTATTACACAAAATATATTCTTAATTATTTATTTATTTCAATTTGGGTAACCAGCAACAGCTATACTACAAAGAATTTTAAATTAATGTAAAGGCTTTTTAATTATACCAAAAAGCCTTTTTTACATATCGTGTACTATTTAAAGGACGATTCTGGCTCAAAACCTTGAACCATCGATGATCACTCCACGTTTCTTCCTCACAACATAAAAAACTCTCACGATTTTAGTACTGAACAACACAACACGTACTGACATTGAGGTCGCTCCTAAAACATGTATAAGGCAATAAATTATTGCTAAGAATTTGTATTTGTGCATGGCCAAAATGTTAGTAGGATTTATTTTCTGATTTAATTTCAAGGTATATCCTAATTTATGTAGTTGTTTTGTTTTCCTAGTAAAGTGTTTTAGGTGAGGGACATCTAAGCCGTGGATCTGTGTCGTGAATTAAGTTGTTGCTATTGCAAAAAAGGACACATTAAACTTAAAGTATTATGTATATCCACCCACGCACTCAGAAATCATAAAGGTGTTAGTGTCCGTTTGATTCTAGTTAAACTCTAAAATATTGTTAGTAAACGAAGCCTTGACGTCGTAAATAAATACTCATACAATCACCCGTCTTTACCTTAGCTTCCGTTGAACTCTGGTTGACTTTGTCGCCTATAGCTTCAAGGATGTATTTCTTCTCAGTGTCAGATATCCGTGGATGTTGGACTGGAGAGTCGTAAACCAAAAACCACCATAGAATACACCATACTAACGCGATTACTCCTGGAACATGGAAAATACAAAGCGTTAGGGATCGGATCGTTAGGATGCTATATGGGGTATGTTCTTTGAAAATCTGTAAGAATGTTCACATGTACTCATAAAATGTAAAGCTAAAGAGGTTCCAAAGTCTGTACATAGAAGATATAACAATAAAAAATGTTTCATGACACCTGCATTTATAATAGAGGACATTCTAATAGTTTTTAGTTAGTTTAACTATGTGTCAGTTTCTTTACGCGCGCATCACGCGAAATCGGAGCAACCAACGGACGAGATTTTTAAATGGAGATTGTTGAAGGGATAGAAAGTAACCTACTTTTATATAATAGCTTACTTTTATTCCCCTTCCAACCCTCACTTACCTAAAATGGGGGTGGTCGTCATACTTATAACTTTCATTAAAAACGATGTGCAAATTATCTAATAGTAACCTCTTTTTTTCTATTTTAACCTATTTAAATAAATAACTGCCTCATTGTCCGAGTGGTCGCAAGTGCGACTGCCGGACAAGGGGTCTCGGGTTCGATTCCCGGGTCGGGCAAAGTATTACTGGGTTTTTCAAAAAATTCCCAGTAGTAGCACGGAGTCTGGAATTGCGCCCGGTATATGGCAATAGGCTCACCCCCTATTACATGAGACTCATAACATAAATAGTGAAAAGTGGGTGTTACATTGTACAGTAGCATAATGTACACCACTGCCTACCCCTTCGGGGATTAAAGGTGTGATGTTATGTTATGTTTAAATAAATAACATTACTATCTAATATTATGTTACGTTTAAACTAATTCTCGAAGTAATAACTATTTCAAAGACATCTGCAATCCCGTCACGGCTCAATTAACTATGTAGAAATCAGCACCCACCGTCTCGGAATTTAAATAGAGGTAGGTAATAAGAAAGCCAATTTTGTAATACTGCCATTATCTGAGATATCTTGTATTTAAGAATTAGGAAATATGTTTTAATAAATTATTACTGCCATTCGAATTCAACAAAAATAGAAGAGATAGCTTCCTACTCAATTTACCGAACAAATGAATATGTAGTTTATTTACAAATAAATATTGCAAAACCATTAATTTTTTTTTAAATATGTATTTATATTCAAGCTGGATAGACGACTCACAGAATTAATGAAAAAGTTATAGGTAGGACATATAGCTATTTTCGACCACAATATTATAATTATGTAAGTTTACAGGAGGTAAACCGGACTCAAACTCAAACGAAACTCAAAACGCTCCCGAAAAGCTCCGGCTTTTCGGGAGCGTTTTGAGCATCTCCTGTCGGAACAGGTGATGCTCAAAACAAAGTTTTATTTTCATAAAAGTAAGGAATTAAATGTTTGTTTTATGTAATAATAGTTGTAATCAACCAACCAACATCAAGGCGGATGTTGCATAAATAATATGTACGTAAATAAAAACAATCACAATACGTTAGTGGACAACTATACTCGGAATTTTAATTCGATTCCAGATTTGACAATTTCAGTGTTGCAACGTTATGACAAGTACTAAATAGTGACGTTGCGAAATTATTCGATATGGAAATGCAATATTTCTGGATCGATTCTTCTCGTTTGTAATTTTACTCTCGTAAACTAAGTATATCAGCAAATTAAATATTTCTGAACCGATAATTTAGTTTTGACGATTAATTAACGATCTGAGACTTTTCTTTTATAATTGTGCGTGAAATAAATAAAAAAATGTAATCATGAAGGAACATGATAAACAAAACAGATAGATGTATTATGGTAATAAGTTATTTTATAAATTATCGCCGTCATCGCTATCGCTATCCTGTCACTTTCTGTAACATTTATTATAAAACACACACACTGATTGTTTATCGATTTTTGTGTTCATAACAACACTATTATATGTGGTATCATTATTTCACAAAATGACAGTAGCTATTGTCAAATCTGGAATCTAATTAAAATTCTGACTATAGTCAAATGCAATACTTTTACCGAAACGTCAAAAACGATACTGTTCTATGAATTTTGTACGACACTTTGTGTGTACGACACTTAGTGTGTACAACACTTTGTGTGATCCACAAATTGTTGTTCCGGGTCTAGGTTTCATGTGTATGTGAACTTGTATGTTTGTAAACGCACACACGACACAGGAGAAAATCCTAGTGTGGGGCAACGTTTTTTAAAAAAAAAAATTGTACGACATCCCTACTTATGACATCGTCATATTTTCGCGTCAAATATCACACATATATCTAGAAAAAATGCTAGAATAAATAAAAAATTAAGTATATTATCGGCAAATCAATGAATAAAAGTGTAATTATTTTTCAATATTTTATTGGACTGTAATTGTAGATACCCAATTGTAAAGACTATTTTTTGTCAGCTTTTTTCGGTAGCATTTCGTTTACACCCCGTATTACTGTTTGCAGTAGTTACATCACACTTATGTTAATTCTTTCATCTCAGTAAACGATATATCCTTTGAGAATACATAATTTACGGTGACGCATTTCGTACAGTTACGATCGGAGTTCGCTCACCCCAAAAAAGAAATAAGCGTAATAATACGTTCATGCATAAATTTATGGGTCCACGTCTCCCATCCTTGATTTATTTAAAAGTTGCACAGTAAGCTAAGTCTGTAAGTGTTTCGATAAAAGATAATATGACGAAGGCAAAGAAAATACCATGTATCGAATATCAGTCGAAATATTAGTTGAGTTTAAAATAATTAATTTTAAATTGTATAATGTATTTTAAACAACATAAGTAACAGAAATCTAGTCGTAATGTAAAATTGATGAACACCACATATGTCCTCCTCCTGTCGCCATACTATAGTCTTAAAACTAGGCACATTTAAAAAACTAAATGTTATCATTTTCAACTTTGAACCAAACCATATATCATGGTTTAATACGATATTGGCTACAACTCTTTAAAAAATACTTACCGGGAACATAAAACGCGTAATCCCATCCGAAGTTTTCAATAAGAGGTCCTGTAAGCGACCAGGTGACTACAGTACCGATAGCGCCACCTAGCAGAGCGCTCACGAACTTGCCCTTTTCCTGGGGAGGCGCCCAGTGAGCCACTAATGCGTGAAGTGAAGGAAACAGGAATCCCTGAAACAAGCAATATAATATTATTTACAAAGTATGACATAAGATTTCTTTAGAATACTTGATATACCGTAAATGATTTATTTATTTATACTAACGAAATTCGGACGCCCTAGTATCTAATCTGTTTCAGACATAAATAAATATTTCAATGTATAAGACATTTGTGTCTAATTGTGTCCAAACAGTATATAGCAATAGTCTCTACTTAAAATTCTTCCCGGGTAGACCATGCAAAAATATGTACAATAGCAGCGATGACACAGATTACATTAATAACACGTAACTTGTCATGACTACTGTTACACCATGTCACATTCAAGTCATATTCCACGTCTGTTCAGACTATAATAATAACTGTACATTACTGGACAGTACTAGAAATACCAAATTGTATTATAACTGGTAATCTCGAAATAAAAGAATCTAAATACCACTTACAAACTTCGTAAATATAAGTTTTTTGAAGGTAAATATGCTAAAAGGGACTTAAATGTATGACTTAAAACATGCTACAACCACACTTTCACAGTGCATCCAGAGCTGCATACGGTCTACGCCACGTCTACGCAAAGGCTACGCTACGACTACGTTACAGCTACTCAGCGGTTACGCGCTACACATTTCTTTACAATCCTGTTAGGTAATGTCAATACAACTTTGTATGCCAACCAACAATGATAATCTGAATATTCAGTAAAAACAAGAAAAATGGTAGTAACTAAACCCTATTGCCTAACAAGGACATGCACGGATTGGAAGAATATCTTTCATTATTTTTGTAGCCCAGCTTTTTCGCCACCCATTTAGGCTATGTCTACGTCCATAAATATAAATTAATTGTTGTGTAAAATTATAAAGCCTTCATAAAACACAGGTCGTAGCTAAGACAGCGACGGTGTTGACACAAGGCCACTGTAAATCACTTACATTTCAACGCAAGCAACGTACAGAAAAAGATAAAATCTTCTAACAACTCCTTGATTTACTTCAAATTACAAAGACGACCATAATTCCTACATGTGGACATGCTTTTGAGGAGAATTGTTATGACGTAGGTTATATTAATTACTTCGAATGACAACAGTTGAACAACGACTTCTTTTAGTTGCTATTACATTCAATCACAATTCCTAGATCCTTTCTAATCCCTTAGGCATAAGGAACAAAATTGCATCAACGCATCATAATAAATTCACACAGACAACCATTTCCATAAACATCGAGAGAACATTCTGCGAACTTCTATGTATTCATAAATATGACATTATTGTTCAAATAGATAACGATTACCTATCGCAAAAAATGTTCTCTAGCTGTCATAAACGCTTCAACATAGGAATGCACATAAAATATGCGAAAAACCTCCGTTCATTTAAAATAACTGAATAATGTTTTTCTAGAGTATTCAGTTTGTTGGTAAGTTTTTAGAAGTATTCATGAACAGGTTAATTTACATCGAAATAAATACAATTGGCACTACCATAACTATATAATGGCCGTGGGAAATTAGGAGTCATCTTTATTAACGTTTTCCTAAGATGGCGTCCACTAAGCAGTTTGAGGTCGTTATAATTTGTTTCTTGTAGTAGCAGAATCAGTTTGATATGAGGCTTTAGGCAAAAAGTTCTTACCAAATGAACATGTTTCAATTGTAATGGTATAGTAAAGGTGCGTTAATCTTCATTTTTGACAAGTTTATGGTGCAGATATGATATACAACCCACTTCTCACTAATATTATAAATGCGAAAGTTTGTGAGGATATATGTGTATGTGTTTATTTGTTACTCTGACACGTCTGAAACGGCTGAAGAGATCGAGATGAAATTTGGAACAGGGGATCATGGTCTGGAATAACACATAAGCCACTTTTTATCCCACGGAAATGCAAGTGAAGCCGCTGGCAGCAGCTAGTATTATTATAAAATAGTTTATAGAAACTTAAAAAATATTTATTACTGTTTACCAATTAGAGGACCGACTTGTGTGCCTTATGGCCGTTTTAACTTATCACCCCTAACCCGTCACTTACGTAAAAGTCACTTAGCGTGACGTTGCACCTGAACTAACCCCTAACTTATTAGGTATAAAAATGCATAGATGTAACAAGTTTTCCACTGTATATGAATGATAATAATACAATACATATATGTATTATGTACGTACTATTTAAATGTCAATTTCTGAGAGTATGAATATTTCTAAATATTTCTTTTAAAACTTAACTACAGTTGCATACAGTCTGTATCTATATTACTAATTAAATACACGGAATCCGTAATTTTCTCGTGTAATAAACGTTAAAGTATCATAAAACATGTTTGTAAATAAAGTTATGTGCCTTATCTACTTCAGCAAATTGAAAATGAATACGATGAAGCGCACTTTAAAAGGAAAATAACTGTACTTATAATAAGAACCTATGTGTAATGAGCTTCATTTCCTTCAGTAATACCACACTTTTACGACTGTTACAAATTGCTTGCGGTTTTATTATAGCCTTTTAGAAAAGGACTTCGAATAGACAGTTAAATGAATTGCTTCCAAGAAAAATGTAACGTTAGTTTAACTTTGTACTCGTGTGGTATGTATTCTATATCTACCTAATCAATATTAGAATAAATAGCAGAATTCTATGTTGTATATTAGTTTCAAATGTCAGAAAGAGTAATAATATAGACATTGAACTTCTTACATGGAATTAGATTATGCTTAATACGAAATTTAAGAATAGATAACGATCTAATAATAACGATTATTATACAATACGGTAGTTGACAGGTATTCAAATTCAATACTTTTATTGAAATGTCAATAACGATACTTTTCTATGAATTTTGTATTGGATCGTAATTTATGACGTCATCATATTTCTGCGTCAGATAGCATACTTATTTCCTTAAAAATAGCGATATAAAAATCCAAAAGTAGGTAAATAGTCAAATCAATGGATGAGAGTATGATTATTTTTTAAATTTATTGCATTGAAAAGTTGAAACAATTTATTTTAAACCTAGGAAACTAGCCAATTATGGAAATTCTCACCTATCTATAATTACATACTTAGGTGACAATTTGTCAAAGGTCAATCAATTTTTGCTAGAGGCAGAAAGAAGAAGAAGAGCTTAAAGTGAATTTTGTATTTAAACTGTCAAACATCGAGCGGTCACCGGTGACCGCAACCTATTGTTCTTTAATTGTCGCGGAGAACCTAACGGGTAACCGGGGCTCCGGCTCGACGTGCAGGGGAGGGAACGGTTCGGTGGTTTTTGGTCAGTAAGAGTCTGACACTCCCTTCCGCCTCACCCAGGCGGGAGCAGTCATTCGATGACTTTCCCCCCTTAAAAAAAAATTGTTCTTTAATTGTATCTATAATGACGGTACTCAACGAGTAATATTGTAATCATTAAATACTTTCTAATTGTTCTTCGCACTAACATATTAATTATATCTTTTCCATAAAGTCCTATTAAAATACCAATTCATAGCAAATAAGTACATTTACATATACTAAGTAATACAATATGTACCTATTTGAATTATAAGCAATTAAAATCAGTATCTTACGAAAATCTCGGAACACTGTAATTACGCCTGTATCATAAGGTGTATACATGTAAGTACATAGACACTTTATTTATAATCAGTATATAAGTAAATGACTATTGGTTTGTCTGCCTATAATTGTAAAAATTAATCTAGATGTCCCACACACACGTCCTAACTTTAAAACAAATTACAGCAAATTGAATGGTGATAGAATAAATACTTTTTTAAATATTCATAATTTCTAATAACAAGTACCAAGTTGTAGTTACCTGTAATACGGTAGTTGACAACTAGTCAAATTCAATACTTTTATCGAAACGTCAAAAACGATACTGTTCTATGAATTTTATATGAAATACAATCTTATGACGTCAGCATAATTTTGTGTCAAATAGCACACTTATATCTAAAAAAAATGCTAGAATAAATCGAAAATTAAGTATATCGGCAGACCAATGAACGAAAGTGTAACTATTTTTCAATATTTAATTGGACTGAAAAATCAAAATAATTTATTTTTGACGCAGGAAACTACACAATTGTTTGTTACACTTATTGTATGTTTTATGTTATTATAGTAATGTTATCAAACGTTGGTAACACTAAATAAAAAATAATAACTGTTAAGGAGATTTAGGTACTTATAAAAATCGAAAAATGGCGTCCATGATAAATTGGACCGAGACACAGCTTCACCATTAAATTCTGATGGTTGTATCAAATTTCATTGAAACGTATAATTACGATAGTCATTGAGAATTGAAGTTATGTACTGAATATCTAATAGATTATAGTGTTTACTAATTTGGACAAAGAACTATGTTTGTTCACTATGTTATTTGAATAATGTTGACATTTAATTATGTGTAGGTTGTGTCTAATTATAAAATTCGAATGGTCATTGGTCTTCGAATACCAAATTATTATGCAAATGCGTGTCCTTGAAGGAACTAAGAGCTCTACCTATATTCTTATATCAAATTAAATAATAAGACAAAAAGGAACGTTGTTATTTTTTGTTGTTATCTCTGTCGTTTGATAATCTCATATTTATGATGTAAAAACTAATTTTATTTTTAAATTGATCATAATCAAAGTAATCTTAAAAACGAATTAATTAAATCTCAATGGGAACCTAAGTAAATATTATTTATAAAGACAAAAAATGATCAACGCATTAATCAACAATAAAAAATTACATAAATATCTAAATATACTTAGGCACTACACTTGTGAGTTGTAATAAATAATAACTCACTTGTTTCCATGTCAACCATTCTGGTACGACTATTCTTGCTATTATTTTATTTTGTATTTATTATATGCCCCGTTTGGTCTAATATAAAGGAATGTAACGATAATAACATGAGTACAATATTATATAATAATGACTTACCGCTGCCAACCCGCTGACGAATCTGACAGCCACGAGTGCCATATAATGTATTCTTGCTGCCTGGGGACTCAAGATGGTCAGGATGGCGATCAACAGCATGGTGACGAATACCAGCTTCCTTGGTCCCCAGAATTCGGCCGCTGTTCCTCCCACCAGACAGGAGATGGAGTATCCCCAGAAGTATCCTGACAGCACGTATGCTTGCTGCTGAGCTGTCCAATCGAAGGTAACCACCCCATCTGGCTGTACAGAAATTATTTATTTTAGACATGTTTAAATTATTATGTTGATCGACTAATTGATTGCATGACAGGTAAGTAGGTATCGGATTTGATCCCAGGATAACACTGAACGCTGTAAATTGAAATTGTACTGCAATGAACGTTATACAATGGAGCCAATCATTTGTCAAAATTACAACTTTACAGAAATTACGTGTTATTACATTACTTAGGCATACGCAGTGTAAAAGAAATGCTTCCGCAAACGCAGGTGTAAAAATGTTGTTTATACAATTTATAATTTTTTAATTTTATAATTTTTGTTCTCTTGTTAATATTCACGTGACAACAGCCTTGAGCTGAGAGCTGATAACAACTCTTATTACATAAAAGAAACATTTGTTTCCTTACTTTTTTGAAAATAAAATCCATTTTTTACTATTACCTGTTTTCGCTTTTAGAAGTATCCCGTTTACACTCTGTATAATATGCGTAACTATAGCGTATACGCTATTGTGAAGATTACCTACTTATAAATGTCCCATATTTCACTTACCATGCACCATAGATATTGCTATCAGTCAACAAAACAGCAGGTAGGTAGTACGTATGTCAAGCAGTTAAGCCTTTTTATTATTATTTGTCTTGCTACCGCATAAATATTTGAAGTACTAATTTCTAGTAATAAAATCTTATATCTCTTTGTTGACTGTGACACAAATGGTTGTACAAACATTGGTTTATAACCAACGATCTTTACCTGTTAAAATTAATGACTTAGGTATTACCAAAACCTCTCCTTATTCCAACATTATTTATATTATTATCAAAACATGTTAAACAAAATTATTATAATTCACCATTTGTTAAATTAATCAACAGACAAAACCTAACCGTGAAATATGGCTATTATTCTGCGAATCCATTATATGTGACAAGTCATTTTTGAAATTAAAATAAGGCATTAATGAAAACATTGTTAAAATGAGAGTTAGAATAAAAGGTTTCCTTTTCAGGACACACCTGTGTTACGGAAAATTCGGATAGTGATGCGATGAATAGAAAACCATTCATGAATGGGTCACGTGCATCGGTCGTTACGTGGTGGAACGTACGAATAAAAAGGCGATGTGGCCATTGTTAAAAAAATCATTTTAACCAGCATATAATAAAAAAAATTTGGTTCAAAATATTTAGAAAATAAATCATTACTAGATTCCGATTGACAGTATACAGGAATTGAGGATCTTAACCTCTTATATTATGAAGGCAATAATTACCTATAATCTTTTGCAATAAAAGAAAAATAAAATAAAAAGCAAGGATACGACTATGAAGAAAAAGAATAACAATGTTATAGCTATAACTATGTATTTTTAAAACAATTCATTATTATTTGAAGGTTGTTTTGTAAGGATTTAGTATAAAATATAATATTACCTGTCTTAGTTCTCGCTTGGTGACCACAGTACTGTTATACAACGAAGTATCGTTTGCCACAATGGCCTCGCACTCGCTTTTCACCCTGTGAATTACAATGAAATAAGTATTGTGTACATAAATATAAATGTCTCAACTATCTGATTATAAATACGTGATCCTATTACAAACATTGATCTAATATGCATAGATCAGAACCTATTTTTATTCTAGTACAGACACATTTGCATTAAAATTGTAGCTAGCTAGGAACTAAAACTTTAAATAAATGTAAGTAATGCTTTACTGATGGGTCTCAAACTATGAATATGTGCATTGTCTACATGAACGAAATAAGTAACTTTAGTAAAAAGTAACCCCAAAGAAGTAGCTCCCATTAGCGTAAAAGGTTTTGTACAATTAAGAAAAGGTGAACCAAAATAATATGCTAAACCTAAACCATTGCGAAACGATCTCCGGCCACCGCGCACCGTAAGCACGGGCCTGCGGACGGCGAGCAAGGGTGGCTCACCGCCCGATCAGAACCAGACTCGAGCGAACGGCGCGTCTCGTTCCGTGCGCACCTCAATGAGCTGTTGCACCACTACAGATGTAACCCAATAACGTTGATGCTGATACCCGTGGACGACTTAATGGCTTGCGGGGGCCAGTTGCCCCAACTCGAAGTGCAGGAGTAGGAACGGAGCGGTTTTTAGACATTAAGAGTCTGTAACTCCCTCTCGCCTCGCCTCGCCCTCAAAAAAACGAAAACCTAATCCATTAACATAGTTTTAAAACTACATCAATTATAATCCACAATCCGTGTATATAATCTGTTTTCAACATTACTCAGTTTTCATTGAGCCACTAATTGTTATTTAACATGAACATAGGTACGTGTGACGCCACCGCGGAAACCTCAACCAGACGTTATAATAGCACAATGAAATAAGCTGAGTAAAGACTGCTTCTTACTATTTACTTATGTTACGAAAATTATGTTAATTGCACGAATATAATTGTTTAATTTACAGATATACAGAGATATTTTCTGCTTTTTATGTTTCTATTTGGAACCAGAGTAGAGTAATTTTAACTAAAATAGTAACTTTTTAGCGCCTCTCTCTCACACACACCTAAAATACTTATTATTAAGTAGACGCACTTTTTTGCTTTGGATAGAGTTAAAACTCAACGGGTTTTTACGTTTACTTTAGATATTAGATGCATCAAATAATGAAAACATAAATATATTTATGACAACAGTGGTGAGTTAGGAAACTTAATCTTGTTATACACCATTACGCGTGAAAAGTCGTAAACAGTTAATGACACGTATTATTGAAATCGAATGAAAGGAGAGTGAGTGTACGTACCGTGAACGATATTAATTAACTTTACATCATATTGTTGACTTGTATTATTACACCTCTACATTTATTTTTAGACCTTAATAAGGAATTAATTTTCAAAATGCTTCACTTCCTTTTCTCTAATTATTATTATGAAAGTTACTGCATCCTTACATAACAAATGCACAAAGACGTAATTGTATACAATTATATTATTATACAAGGTTTAATTAAATAAATTATGCATTCGTTACTCAACTGTCGAGCTTAGGTACAGACGTGCAATTTATGTATGAAACAGTATGACTTATGTAGTGTTGAAAACATGATAAATTTCTCAGTTGATTTAGATATACGGAAAGTAGTAAAATAACAATTACAGTCATTATAAGTAATACAGTGGTAAGTACTATTAGTGCGATGATCGTGAGAATGTAGGCGCACGTGGCCTGCAACGCGTGGCGAACTGATGCGATTTCAAGCATTGGATATCGGCCTCACGTGTTAACCGCATATTTAATATGCACATTTTTTTACCAAGGTCTCCTTTATGAATCATACTCATGTTAGAGAACGGCGAAAAGTCTAATTGTTCGCGGGATTTTCCTAATAAATAGCTGAACGGACGGGACGGCTTAGTTTACAAATGTTTGTTTAAGTTTCTGTATAAAAATATATTTCCTCAGAGATTCGGAATCCTGATTCTATGGACGTAGTTATTAGCCATAGAACTAATAGATTAAATGCTTAATGATTAAACACTAAAATGGTTAACTTGTAAGAAACACTCGTTATTCCTTAAAAAAAAACAAGATGGTACAGCTGAAATGTTATCTATACTAATATTATAAAGAGGAAAGATTTGTATTTTTGTATTTTTGTATGTTTGTAATGAATAAACTCAAAAACTACTGGACCGATTGCAATAATTTTTTCACCATTAGAAAGCTGCATTATTCAGAAGTAACATGGGCAATATAATATCACGCTAGGTCCTATAGTTGTGGAGCAGTAACCAAAAATGTTTTAAAAACGGGGGAAAAGTATCGTTTCTGAGGCCTTCCGTGGCGTGCGCTGAGCATATAGTTAAAGTTATACAAAAATGCTCTATAGATGAATTGTTCATCTTAACATTATTTTTAAAAAAGTCCGCGAGAGCATATGTCTACCTTTTATAGTTTACCCATAACAATCGTTTTAATGAATGGTTCAATCCTTATAAAAGTTTGCTCTAGATAACTTTTGAATTGTTCAATCGGTTACCTTAAGACTATTAATTCATCCAAAAGATACCTATTAGGTAAGTACTTACCTACTATTTCAAAAATAATAAACTGAGAATAAATATAAATAAAACGTAAAACTATGTAAAAAATCTTAAGTCCCCCGTGCGAAGCCGGGACGGGCCGCTAGTCACAAATAATAAAATAAACTTTCACCATATTGTTAAAAATTATTAAAAAAAAATGTAGGATTAATGACCTCAAGATACTGAAACGACCAACAATTACTTATGTTTGCACCTTGAACAGTTTATTAGTATTTTTATGAGAATTACAAATTAATTGTGTTGTGTCCTTTAGTTTAGTTAGGTCAGTCGCCACTAGCAATAACACTCACAATATATTTTTTTTTAATTCAGATTTAAGAATTATATTAATGTAAACTAACTATCTAAATATAAATTCCATTAAAATAACTTAACACGGTGCTTATTAACATATTTCAAATGAAATAATACCTAACATGTATTATGTCTCATTTTCACTAAAATGTTATCGAATATATGTTAGCAAAAAATGCTACCCAATCTGCAATATTTACCAATATAGAAACAAAAGTACCTTATACTTAAATTATTTAACTACGCTACCATAATTCGAGAAAATATGAATGTGTATAATTATTTCAAACTCTTAGCTTCTGCCCGCGACTTCGTACGCGCAATCCCATTTTCTCCCGTTCCCATAGGATTTTTAGAATTTTTTTCTGTCATAAGAACCTTCGCCCGACAATAACAAACAAAATAAAAAAAATCAACCAAATCGGTCTAGCCGTTTTCAAGTTATGGCGTGACAATGGGAAACGGGTTTCATTAGGTATTATATATATTATATAGATTAATTCTCGCTAATAAAAACATACGACATACTTGAATCTGATTTTTACAACTAGTTTCAATTTTATGCTCTGAAATCAATTAATTGGTACAATTATTATCAATTTAATCTAACAATAGAAAGGAAGAGGAAAGGTTTTACATGAATAAAAATAAATAAAATATTTCCTTGGATACGATATTTATATAAAAATGAAGTAAATAGGAAGAAGGCCTCTCAGCTGATGGGGAAAATGGAAAGTGTAAAGCGACAACCTCAAGTACCCACACTTAAGTCATATCATTGAGGCTAGTCAACTAAACGCACATACAGACGAACATACATAGTATTAAGTAACATATAGCTCACTAGATATTTCATCTATACTATGACTTACTTGACTTATAGTCCTATGTCCCTTAGATGGGGCAGAAGGCGTCCACAGAGGTTTTCCTTCTCGATCGGTAAATGATGAAACAGATATAACCCATATCTGTTTCGGTTTCTAGAATCTTATCTACTCTATACCTATATATATTAATAAGTATACAGGTGACTTGTAACTCGACAAAACCCAAAATGTTGAATGTCTCAGAAGCTAGCTACTTTCAGACCAGGGACCTAAGGGCCAATTTTGTAGGAAATTAGTTTTATTATCAGTATCACCTCCAGAGAGGAAAACGTCGAGTTTACAAGTCACCCTATAAAATGCTAAAGAGTTTAGAGGTATTTGTGTATTTCTTTAAACGCATCTATCTCCGGAACTACTGATTACTATTGAATAATTCCTTTTGTGTTGGATAGCCTGTTTATATTATACAGGAGGTCTATAAAATATGACGCTACGATGAATAGTAGCAGTAGGTGAAACAGCGCAAGACTAACTTGTTTGATGTCGATACATCATTAGTAACAAACTGCGTCAAGTATTTTGTTATTGTTTTGTTTAACAATCGACTTTTAAGAATTCGATATCAATTTTATCAAATGTCACTTAGTCAAATCTTAACATCCCCAGCGACCGATAAGACAATCGAAATGTATTAAAGAAAATGTAGGTACCTACTTCAGTGTGCGATAACTTTAGAAGAATGGTTTGATAATATTAATGCGTGCACGTGCTTAACTCGTCGAGTACCGGTTTTGTAGACACAATTATAGAACAATAGGTTGCGGTCACCGGTGACCGCTTGGTGTTTGACAGTTTAAATCTATTTTAGTAAACTGTATATTATATTATGTTCTGTTTAGTTGAGTTATGCCCGAATAGTGACTTTGGATAGTTCTTTATAGTTCCTGCCCGGCTACATATTATCACGCTATCACGTAGGTGATAGGGTGCTTTTTTTATACGGGGTGAAAATCATAAATGACTTCTCCCGCCTGGGTGAGGCGGAAGGGAGTGTCAGACTCTTACTGACTAAAAACCACCCCGTTCCTACTCCTGCCCTTCGAGTCGGAGCCCCGGTAACCCGTTAAGTCCTCCGCGACTCATGATATGTATAGCCTATATGTTGAGTTGACCCTGGTAGTAATATTCGATTCCAGATAGCGCCTCAAGTTTAAAAAAATATTCAATGTACCTCTAGATATAAAGTTAAAAAACTTTCCTGTGATTTTATTTTATTGTAGGTATGTATAGATGCTACCTTCGTATATATTTCTAATAAGGAAACAAATAAATACAATATTAATAATAGAAACATTATTAAGTACTCCATCCTTATCTGATTTTATTATGTCCTTCTTGTTGTTACCTCTAAAAACAAATAAAAGTTTCTTTACAATGACAATTATATCATTTTTTTTAAGGGGCGAAAATCATCGAATGACTGCTCCCGCCTGGGTGAGGCGGGAGGACGTGTCAGACTCTTACTGACTAAAAACCACCCCGTTCCTTTTCCTGCACGTCGAGCCGGAGCCCCGGTTACCCGTTAGGTTCTTCGCGAAAGGGTCGATTTTTCAATGCTCAGTTAAATTTTAACTGGGCAATAACTTTCAATAATTGACAATTCTTCCATACTAAAAACTGTCAACTGTCTGTTCACAGTGTTTTGTTCACAGTTAAAAATTAACTGATGATTCAAAAATCGGCCCTAAGCTTTTATCGTCCCTTCTTGAAACGAACATTTTTGTTGATATTTTAATTTAAAGATTTTCTTCCAAGATTTACATACTTCAGTAGACTGGTAGGTACTAAGTCTGCTTTGGCTTAAAGTTAAATCGAGAAATCCCAATGACCTACCACAAATATAGCCCAAAACCACAGTTATTGAAAAAACTAACGTAAAAAGTCAAATATCGTCGCTGAATCACGAATCACATAGTGTATTTGAATAAGTATTTATCAAATTATTCTTTTCTTCATTACCCAGTCGTATGCGTCATTTGATTACCTCTTAATTTATTGCTTTGTTTGCAAAATGGTCCCTACAAAAACCTGCAAAATGGAACTATCCAAATCAATTTTACTAGTCTTACTATTTTTGTCAGTTTGTATGCACGTTTGTTACTTAATGATATCAAAACGGCTGAAGGGATCGGGAAGAAATTTGGAATAGGGACATATTATGGTCTGGAATAACACAGGTTACTTTATATCCCACGGGAACGCGAGCGAAGCCGCGGACAGAAGCGAGTATGTAATAAATACATATCTTTTATTCCTGGAATAGACAGACACAGACACACAAGTACAAATATGACATAACACCATTTTACCGATTATGTTAATAGTTCCATGTATCCATTAGGTGACGAGTTAACTATATATAAATTATTGCCTTTTAACAAAAGCAATAATAATTGTGATAAAAATATATTACACTTGTCACATAGGGGTGAAACCGTGATACGTGGAGTTACATATTCGTAACAATTTGTTATTTTCAACCGACTTAAAAAATAAGGAGGAGGTTCTCAATTCGACTGCATTTTATTTGCTTATTTATGAACTGTGACCTAAAAACTGAACGATGTACTTTTTCCCACTGACATATCTTTCTTAAACAAACAAATCCTTTCCTATACATAATAATTTGGATACATAATAACATAAAATAATACAGACGGATTGCGAGACCATTTCGGGTGAAACACGGATTGTTCATCTAGGTTATAATAAGACACAGGTAAATAGATAATAGAATTATTCAATGCAATAGGTACATAACATTGCCAAAGCAGTTACGATACCAACACGTTGATACCGCGTTAAGTCACGTAGTTACAGATAACGTATTGCATCCAAAACCCACAGTAAAGCATTACTTATTTATTTTTCTAAGTCATACACATGCTAGATAATTGTACATTTTATTCATTAATGATATTAGTACGTATAGCGACTAATTAATATTTCATTAATTAATCATACGCATATTCAGTGTCTGTATTTTACAAGGAATTCATTAGTCTATGCTGCAGTTGTAGCCAAATGCCATTTAGCGCTTGTCTACATGTAGAACAGAAAACTAAATTATATGGAATTGACGTAAATTTTGACAATTTGTCAATGTCATCCCCATACATTTTGATTTCTACTCTCTCTGTAGACAAGCGCTAAATGGCATTTGGCTACAGCTGCTGGTATCAAATATGGCTACGAGTTTGTGAATCTCGGCTAGGCAGTCTTATAGCAATGCTTTTCAAACCCGTATTACCCTTAATATTTGTAATTAGGTATACTTCCTCATCATCAGCATGTTATAAACTAACGTATAGAGCATTTTGTAAATCCCTCTTGAATAGCATATTATTTCAAAAACACTTACGATGTAGTAGTACTGTCATCGGGCACCATAGCAATGATGTTGACGCTCATGTTGACTCGCATCATGTAGTTGACCCAACACGCGAAGAACATCATGATGGCCACGTTGAACCGCGCCGGTATGAAGTCTGTAAAAATCCCTTCGATGAACACACTACCGTTAAAATGTAATAAAAGGTAAACAAACAAGAAAGGTATTCGAAGAACCCGGGCAATTACTCAAGCATAAAGCTGAAAGCATTTTCCTTATCGACTCATATGTTGATCAACAACCAAATGTGTCATAACAAAGTATTATGTAACAAGGTTGAACGCACATTTTAATGACCTTGCATAATTAATTAATAACTTAATCATTCGCCCTGGTACGTTCAATGATTCGAGATGAGATGATTTCGTCATCGACCTTAGACGCTTAAGTAGACGAATGCGGAAATGGACGCGGCTTTTAGAGTTTGGCAAATAGTTGTCGACAAGAATTCATGACCTCGCAGAACCCGTAAGTGTGCAGAACATAAACTTTCGAATACATTGTCAATATCAGACGGACAAGCGTTGACGAATGCGTGCGGTTCATTGCACCCTGTTTATTAGAAATACCTTGATTATGCATAAATAAAAAACAAGGCAAAGCGAAAGTCTCATAATTTTGCCGCATGATCTAGTTTCTTTCTCCGAAATTACTGACATGATGCAAGTGAATTGATTTCTTCTAAATATAAATGACGCGCTATATCGTGGCCATAATATTAAAATACACAATCCCAAACGAGTTTTGCCTATTATCACGTTCACAAAAAACGTTTCTGTTTAAGAGAACTAGTTTAAAACGCGAAACGCCGCAAAAGTTTTAAACCGTTTATTTTTTTACATTTTTATCTTCCTACATTCCAATCTAAAACTGGTAGAATTCCAATAACTTTAACACAAGCTTGGAGACTGTAAGGGATATATACTTAATTTAATAATATAAAAAAATAGCCATAATTATGAGCTTCAGTGAAATAAGAAATTAGAGAGTATTTTTTTCTTTGCTAAGAACTAAACTAGTACAAAATCGTGTCCATTCAGCCAGGCAGACAATTTATATTTCCACAGATTATGTAAAATTGTTGACATGACTAAATTAAAAATTGACTTTATGTAGGATTTAACAACGTTACATAATAAAAATTCAGGCTACTATAGATTAAAAAAGTAAGATGCCATTTGGTTACTTGGTAGAAAAAAATGTGTATGAATGACATCTTGTAATTTTATGTTTTTTTTTTATAAACGGCCAGTATTTGAATACGTTTATATAAAAAGTAGGTATATTTTATATTCCTTTCTGAAAATGCTTGGCGTATTGACTGATTTTGTGCTGCTTATACCGGACCACAAATTAATATTCATTACATACATAATACAAAAAATCATATCGTATTTTAGCAACGTAATAAGCTTTGTATTAGATCACGGTAAATACCTAGTAGAATTAATAATCAGCGTCTCTTGCAAAACATCGTGTTTTTCTATGGCCATGGCCTCGTTGAATAACCCCGCGTGATGACAACAAAACAACCTCACGCGGCCACTATTGGCGACTATGGACCATCAATTTTTATTTTTTCGAAGAAGATACAAACGACCTCTTAGTTCGGCGCTTAAGACACGCCTCTCTCACCTATCTGAATAAATTAGCATGACGTAACCTCACAAGACTCCTTCATCAAACTACACTTAGGAGAAAAAAAAACGGATCCACCAATTTTTTTTTTCATTGTATCGAACGTCCATAACTTTAAAAAACATATTCTTTATACTACAAAATGCTCTCATGTTAAAGGCATTAAAATTGCCTTTTACACGACATACGTTACCAATTAATAATAATACTTGCATCAGATTTTTTAATAGAATAGGAGCCAAACGAGCTGACGGATCACCTGATGGTAGGCGATCAACGCCGCCCATGGACACCCGCAACACCAGAGGAGTCTCAACATAATAAAAAAAATATTATAAATATTACAAAAAATTAAAAGAAAAATACCAATGGCTCCGTTTCTTTGCTATCAAGTCATAATGAAAGAGAAAAATCTGCGAATTGTCGACAATTACCACTTTATTGATTAAAAGCCAAATATTTGTTGTTAATTGTGTACCTGTACCTAACTATAATAACTATAAAATATCATATATAGCACTTACTATTGACGTAGGTCAACGTCATTTAATAATTACTATTGTAACAGCTGAATAATTGTGACTTACTTATGTGTTTACGTTTTATAGTTCCACTGTATTGTTATTTATAGTCTTTCAATGAATTTTGATAAAGCGCCTTATTACAAAGGAATAATATTGTAAGTTGTAAGCATTTAGAGATAGAACACAGTTAAATTATGTAGTTTTAGCATCGTGGATATAATTTTTCAGTGTTGCTGTAATTTTCTGCTTCAATATGACATTTTAAACTGTCAAATACCAAGCGGTCACCGGTGACCGCAACCTATTGTTCTATAATTGTGTCTGCAAAACCGGTACTCGACGAGTTAAATCCTAAACGTTTGTAAAAGAACTTCTTAAGGGACTTCTCTATCATGATCATCTTATTTTTGCCGCTGGGCGTGTTATGATGACATTAAATGTTATGTCGTTTCGCAGAAACATCTGACCGAGGGCGGAGTAGTACATTGTGATGGCAAGCTATTGTTATTTGGTGGTCCTATTGTGTCGCCATGAATAGTCTGTCGTTTACTTAATTGATGTGTTTGCAAACGTAGTCATTACTGCTCGTACCTAGCTGCGTACCAGGCGCGGTGATGAGGCTTGTCATACCTACTACATATAGGTACTTGTGAACCTTCTTAAATCATATAGACGTATGTAGATATAGAGTCTATTGTTTATAGTCTTGACGACTTAGAATTAGACGTTTCATTAAAGTTATAAAAAAATCATTAGCTGCTTTATGGCTGAAGACAGCCATGTTAGCAATTTATTAATGTCACATGTGTTATCTGTGAAAATGTTAGATGTAATTTATGTTCTCTAGTAGGTACTCATGTTATACGTGTACTCATCCTCCATCATATTATGTCTACAAAGTATTAAAGAAACATCGATTTATGAGCTTTCAATACTAGGCTGCTAAACTTCAACGCATGCTTGTCTTAATTAGCTGTTTGACGCAGACAACGTCAATCATTTGCGTAACGGTTAGTTCTGAGCTCGTGCTTGCATTCTGGAAGAATCCGAATGTCTGCGTAGCGGTGAAAGTGCAAGAATGCAGAGTCTGGCTAGGCAGGCGCCACACGGCCGCCGCGGGCGCCGCGTCCGCTGCCTGCTGGCGCCAGGCTCGCGCGCTAATCACTGCCCATCCCGTTCCTGCCCCATAACACTTTATTAGGCCCATACGGATTACTTTTATTATTGCGTGCACATTAAATTACTTAAGTGGAAGTCCTAGAAAATTCTTCCTTAATACTATTTTAATTATTATTGCTTTTACCTTCGTTTTACGTGAGTTGTGCTTTTTTATCTTTATAAATAGGAATCACATAATAAAGAAAAGTCATACCTAAGTTTTTTATAAATACAAACTATAAAGATATCATAATTAATTTTAATGGAGTGCCCTTACTAGTTTTAATATATACCTAATGTTTTTGCCAAACAACTGTTGGGGGCAGTCCCTAACTTTCACCGGTCACTATTTATTAGCTAGAGGCGGTCAAGGTCTTTGAAAGTAAACCAGAAGCTTTTTCTACATGCCTATCTTCCGTATTAATCTCATGAACACAAAACCTAACGGCGGGTGGATGCAAACACTTATCGAAATAACAAAAGTGACAGATGTCGAACACTAAACTTTCAAATTGATTAAACAGTCGCCGGCGACTTGTTACAAGTACACATACTCTAACGGTACAGCCTACTTATATTAAAAAGGTTTATGATTCATTTTGCATGGCGACGCCCGAGATGCAAAATTTCGTCTTCGGAGAACCGGTCAGTGTTTACATCCTTATTCTTTAACGTCAAACTAAATGAGAAACCACTAACTGAAATATGCATGCAGTTATCGCTATATTGATTGTCATTTGTCATATTCTATTGGTGATTTACTACTAGCTGAGTAGGTGTGTTTGTTTTTAAATTAAGTTTCAGAAAAATAAAAAAATAGAAAAATAATAATCATTGATAAAATGTATACAAATTGTATACCTACGCAGGATAGATAGACGCTGCAGATAGTATACACACCTTAGCTAGTTATAGAATTAAGTCTAAATTACAAGGATATAGCTTAAGCATATGATTTATCTAAAAATATTCGGGTGAGGAAAACCACATAGATTGTGTAAGTGACCCGTAACTAAGTATATCAATATCCTATTTCTTCCGCTAACCTCCAGAGAGGCCTTACCTCCACATAATAAAACTGTCACTACTACCTTATTGCTAAACAAACTGCACGCGTAACCTTACAAAACAAAGGACAATGCTGAAAAACAGCGTCGATGCAAACGAAATGTGTCATAATTTATAGGTACATATAGATCAAATTCCAATATGAAGATACTGCCTCTGTAGAATTTACTCACCCATATAGGCATACCTTTACCTAATATGCTCTGTGTATGAGTTTTTTCATACAAATTGAGGATTGTCCTTAAACAATTTCTATTTTCAAAGAGAGCAGTAAAATGAAGTAGCTGTGTCCTCAATAAAACCATCATTAACGATCTGTTTGTATTTATGCTTCCACGCTATAGGTATTTATTTAACTACGGAGCTATATTTATGTTTATTATATAGTCAAATACTTACCTAGGTACTACACCTACTTTTTAAATTGATGTAGTAGTGAAGTATGAAAACATACGAATAAAGTATTGGAATAACTTAAAAATTATAATAATACTAAATAATATACTTCAACTAATAAACTTAAAACTAATCTTACTGGGATCAAGAGTGAAATTATCTCAATCTCAACAACGCAGATACTAACATAATATCACTGTTGAATATACACCTGTGCTGTGGTACCTAACTAGATACTATCTTCCCTCTTTTATCGAATTTGCATGTCTTAAATATTATCTTTCATGAGAACAACTATCTATGTAGAGGAAAACATTGTCATTATCTTTTTGTCAAACAAGACAGTAAAATAATGTAGATAACAATACTATATCTTTATTAAAATAAACACTGAACAGCACTACCTGAATTGCAGCTACTGAGTAAAAAGTTGAGCACCAGTTTGTTATTTTGGGTGAATAACAATTCAGCAATCGTCCGGAACTGATGAGAATCACTGAACCGCATAGGGACGGATCCAAGCGTGTTAGGTCCCCACCAAGGGCATTATCAATGAACACAACCCGTGCATAATGTTGTATCATGTATTTTGTAAAAAAAAAAACACAAGTTTTCCGCGAACCAAGTCATTATTAACGTTGTTTGTACATCCAACATTAATCATCCATTCATTCCATTCGCTTTAGAACCTTATTTAGTTTCATTGAAGACATAACTCGTTTTGATTTGGGATTTAGCTCTCTCTTTCCGACAAGTTGTGTGTTAGTCTTGATTTCGCATAACATCAACACCATTGATCATTATTACTGCGCGTATAAAAACAAGTTTCTTTTATGCTTTAAACCAATAATATTGCCCATGTTCACACATCTAATTGGCCGTCAAGTTGTAAAGTTGATTGAACATGACTGCAACGTTATCGGGAAGTTCACATTCAATATGATTCAAGTAAACAACAACAACAGCAACAAAGTAAAGTGTTCAAGTAACCGGATAGACTCGGCCACATACCTACGTTATAGATACTTTTTATGTTATCTCAGTTGTTAGAAAAAAAAAGTTCTAGATAATAATTTGCTAGTACCTACATAAAAATTCATTTACATTCAGATCAGTCTGGTAGAGACAGAATACAATTCTAAAATAAAAAAATCCTTAAAAAAATGTGGACAATCAACCTCGAGTTCTTCGTATTTGGGTGACATATATCCACATTTTCTTTACAATATATATACATATATAGGTAAACACCCAGGTACTTCTCTAAACTACATAATTCTCTCGCCATATCGAACTTACAAACAATATTATTTTCCGATGTGCCACTCAAATCTGACCGGCACCATGGCGAAGTCGCGCCATTATTCAATTATCAACGCTACATTTCTATTTACGAAGGAAAATAACAAGGTTTAAAATAAAACTGAAAACATTGTAGCTATACCTACTAACCTATTTCTAATGTAAACATTCACAAACATATTGTATAATATGTCATTTTACTTATTTGTATATTGTTTGTTATTAAACAAATTTAATTAGTTGTTAAAGAAAATCAATAAAGTGTTATAATATTATGAGTAGTTCTGTCTATCCGTAACTTAGGTACTCCGAACAACATCATCCTATTTGTCCAAAGAAATACTAAATACGTTATAATTATGTAAAAAAAATGAATTCGCTTAACAAAACTAAAATTAAGCAAATTTTCTTTCTGAGGTAATTATATCTTCTTTTCTTACCAGAACTCAAAGTTTGTATACAAGAAAACACAACATAAAAGTAATCTGCATATCCAATATTACGTGAAGTAAAGTAGAAAAAATGTCAAGTAATTTTCTCAGGAAATGGAAATTCCAAGAAAAACTTATCAATATGTATGGAGCGAGAGGCACTATCTAAGGCCAAGATTCTGGTTATCTGTTTATCATCGTTCTGACACAAGAAGTGAAGATTCACTTCAAAATAAACAAATAGATATTATAAGTGTTATTAATTCGAAAATTATGTAAACATCTCTACGCACGATTACTAAATTTTCCCGAGTTCCTGAGTCCACGAGCACATGAGTTACTTCGTCATAACTAATAAGCAGTGTATACAAATAAACAAAAATGAATTACTGACTGTTTCTTCACAACAGAATATTAAATGTTCAGAAGGTATTTGGCCAACTCTGTCAGGACGAGATTTCCGTTGGCAAAAAAAAGAAAACCCATCAGAGAACTCGATCGCATTAAATGGCACCTATCGAGGTACACACTGGGCGGGGCGCCTAAGCAATCAAATAATAATAATTCACTTGACACTCGCTCTTCTCACACGACTTTTTATAGTGCTACTGAATAAATTAAACACATTTTTAAATAAATAAGTGTCTACCTAGCTATACGTAAACGCATATATTCGGTGTGTTTGAACAACTGTTTATTCGTCTAAAGTACATACAGGCCAGTATTTACTAACAGTTACCAAGGTATCTATTAAAATCAAACTAGTTAATTACCTAGCAATAAAAACTACATATTAAAGTATCTATTACAGACTTAAGCAAAGGAACAGCCGTTTTCACTATTGTTTTAGTTTACGACCTTTTTAAGTATTGGTTGAATGACGGCAATAGCGAATGCTGAAAAATATCTAAGTGCCTAATTATTAATCTGTGATGATGGACGTTCTGGTTTTTCTGTTTAGAAGTAAAATTGCTTGTAGTAAAAAGTAGTTAAAGATTATAGGTATTTTATATTATTCGTATAGAATCTGTACTTAGGTATGGGTAGATAATGTGAGTTTGGAAACATTATGTATGTACCAACTGCTCAAAAGATGGTTTTAGGTGATTATAAGTATAAACTTTTGAGGAAAAGCAGGTGCAATATAAATGTTGCTTTCTGTTCCTAGTGCATAACTGCTGTGTAGAAATGTTTAATTGTTCACACATATTGTTTTGTTGCGTTTCTAATTTCTATGAAATGTTACTTAAATCTACAATGTGTACGTACATTATTGACAACAATAACACCAGTCCGGTTCCAAGTCCTTTCAATAAGACTGATTTGAATATAATCGCCTAGGTTCTACGACTGGTGTGTTAAGCTGCATTTACTAAAACTTTAATCGAATTGCTTACTACTTGAACCTTAGAGGTACAATTCACTGCGCAAATCACGCAAAAAGTTTATAAGTATCTGATCTGACGGTCACTAACATTAATTACCTTTAACAACACCTCTCGCCTCCGCTTACAGTCCGATAAAAACAACAAATTACGTATTCACTGAAGTTTTCATACAAAAACCACTTCATGGGAATTACCGGCCAAATCTGATGGCTCAAATTAACTTGTCATTGTAAATATTGATGGCGGATTTAATTGTTATAAATTACACCCCTAATTACTACTTATTGTGTTAATTACCTTTACTGTGGCATCAATAATTTTCAATAATTATTAATTAAACTTATGAGTTTAACTTACCGAAAAATTTAATATGAAACTTCATTTTGTTGTATTATGCACGTAACATGGAGAACACAAACAGCCGCACTGAGGTAAGCACGCACGCGCGACGGAGGTTGCGAATACTAGCGAGCTGCGCGCACGCTTGTCTTCCTGCGACTGCCTTGCTCCGCAGCGATGGTTGATCGTCGCCTGCTTTTAGATCCGCACACTGCATTCAACGAAGGCCTCACCTCGCGTGCCACTTCAAAACATCCGATCGTCAATGGGCATTAGCATCAACGTCGTAACTTGAACCTATGCCGCATACTTGACTGCTAATACTTGCATCTGCATACATATGTCAGTACACTATCTACTTTTCGTGAAATGACCTGTTAAGTAAATAGACTGTATTTAAGCGCTTGACTGATAGTTATAGATACATCTGTGATCTTGAGAGTGTGTTACTAGTGTCGTACTTGACATTTATCTTAATTTCCAAGTAATTCTAATTGATTATACATAGAGTCTGAAGGCTCATTTCATTTACAACCTAGTCTATTCTAAGAACTTCTAACGTCGATATGTCTTTACTGGTACATATACCTACGTAAGACGTTTACTCTTTCCCCTAGTAAGAAGAATGTAAGTACATGCATGATGTAGTACAGTCTCGCACAGAAATGTATTTTTGTTATTGTTTAAGTTAGTTCATAAACAAATTTATGTGATAGAAAATTATACAAAATTGAGACCCTCGATTTCCATTCTTATTGATAATATTTTACAAGTATTTTGTGCCTGACTATTATTTACGGATAGATGAAAATATAATAATTCACGCACCTTCCACCACCTTAAAAGTAGTATTTACTTAGATAAGTAAATACTACTTTTACCTCCACGTGGCATTAACATTGAATTGGTATCTAATAGACCAAATCTAGAGGTAAATAACTGATAGACCTCTAATTGCATCGCATTACCTAAGGACAAGGAGAATTACATCTTTTATTGCTGCTAGTAGGGGCAATCATAACATTATAGATTTAATATTATACAACATTTATTTTACTTATTTATGTAATTTAATTTAATTTAATTATTGTTATGGCGGACAACAAACAAACAACTTATAAAACTAGTTAGTACTTAAAATTACCAGTTACAATTAAAACATGATTATGTTACGCCACAATAGCATGTAGGCGTATCCAATACCCCAGTATGGAGCTGTTCCATTTGTCTGCTATGGTCTTCAGGATACTACTGGGACTTTCGCGCAACCTAGGTACACGCCCGCCGCTAGCATTCGAGCGCCCGGGTGCAAATACCGATTATGCCGCCCTCCTTTTTGTAGTTTGGGTAAAAAGTCCTCAAATTACTCTTGACGAAGTGACTCCTACGATTCTTACTAACTAAAAACCACCCCATTCTCTCCAACACTTGCTCAAAGCCAGGGCCCCAGTACCCATAATAACAGCCTACCCTCCAGCAAGGCAACAAATAACAATCCTGGTGGGTCCGTCCACGCCCGCCGCTAGCATTCGAGCGCCCGCGTGCAAATACCGATTATGCCGCCCTCCTTTTTGTAGTTTGGGTAAAAAGTCCTCAAATTACTCTTGACGAAGTGACTCCTACAACTCTTACTAACTAAAAACCATCCCATTCCCTCCAACACTTGCTCAAAGCCAGGACCCCAGTACCTATAATGACAGCCTACCCTCCAGCAAGGCAACAATCCTGGTGGGTTCATCTGTGGTGTCTGATGAAGTAATGACTCTATGAGGCCTGCATTTTACACGACGCGCCGTACGCTCGGGTCTGCTACGTGTTAGGTGATCCTTGCTTGCCGTCCGCAGACTCGCGCTTACGGTGCCTTAGAAGGCGACGCGATACTACACCAAAAGCGTCTCCTGTGGTAGAGATATCTCGAAAATGTAAGAAAATATTCGATAGATTTCGAGTAAGTCCAGAAAGTAATCGAAGACGCTCGATAGATTTTGAGTAACTCTCGAAAGTGATCGAGGACGATCGAAAGTGATCGAGGACGTTCGATAGTTTTCAAGGACGATCGAAAGTGATCGAGGACGCTTGAAAGTGACCGAGGACGCTCGAAAGTGATCGAGGATGCTCGGTAGTTTTCGGGGACGCTCGATAATTTTCGGGGACGCTCGAAAGTGATCGAAGACGCTCGAAAGTGATCGAGGATGCTCGAAAGTGATCGAGGATGCTCGAAAGTGATCGAGAACGCTCAAAAGTGATCGAGGACTCTCGATAAATTTCGAGGTCGCTCGATAGTTTTCGAGGACGCTCGATAGATTTCGAGGACGCTCGAAACTGGTCGAGGACGCTCAAAAGTGATCGAGGACGCTCGATAGATTTCGAGGACGCTCGATAGTATTCGAGGACGCTCGATAGTTTTCGGGGACGCTCGAAAGTGATCGAGTACGCTCGAAAGTGATCGTGAACGATCGATAGTTTTCGGGGAACCTCGATAGTTTTCGGGGATGCTCGAAAGTGATCGCGTACGCTCGAAAGTGATAGAGGATGCTCGAAAGTGATCGAGAACGCTCGATAGCTTTCGAGGACGCTCGAAAGTGATCGAGGATGCTCGAAAGTGATCGAGGACGCTCGATAGATTTTGAGGAAGCTCGATAGTTTTCGAGGACACTCGAAAGTGATCGAGGGTGCTCGAAAGTGATCGAGAACGCTCGATAGTTTTCGAGGAAGCTTGATAGATTTCGAGGAAGCTCGAAACTGATCGAGGACGCTCGAAAATGATCGAGGATGCTCGAAAGTGATCGAGGACGCTCGAAAGTGATCGAGAACGCTCGATAGTTTTCGGGGACGCCCGATAGTTTTCGGGGACGCTCGAAAGTGATCGAGGACGGTCGAAAGTGATCGAGGACGCTCGAAAGTGATCGAGGATGCTCGAAAGTGATCGGGGATGGTCGAAAGTGATCGAGAACGCTCGATAGTTTTCGGGGACGCTCGATAGTTTTCGGGGACGCTCGATAGTTTTCGAGGACACTCGAAAGTGATCGAGGATGCTCGAAAGTCATCGAGGCCGCTCAATAGTTTACGGGGACGCTCGAAAGTGATCGAGGATGCTCGAAAGTAATCGAGGACACACGAAAGTGATCGAGGACGCTCGATAGTTTTCGATTGACCCTCGAAAGCGATCGAGGACGCTCGATAGTTTTCAAGAACGCTCGATAGATTTCGAATTTAAGGCGATACTGACCGGTATAGGGCCTCAAACTTAATACACAACGCTAATATTGCTTGCGTCGAGTGGAATTTTTTCCCGGCGATGATATTTCTTATGGTTTCTGCTTACTCTGGCAATGATTTTGAATATAAGGTAATGAGTTGCTCGATTTGCCCCCCCCATGATCATGCGCCCGTGTGCTGTGCACACTTTGCACGCGCGCTTACGGCGGACCTGCCTAAGTATAATTTGGGCACGACGTTTTCGTATGTTGGCATGAAAACCATCTACGCAGGCGTACATACCTCTGCGAACATACCAGAGGCACTGCGGAACCGCGGCAACTCAACCAACTCCCTGAATGCGTTAGTATACCCTCCGCGTGTGTAGTGAGTTGGCCCTATTACATATAGATAGGGGTGAACCTATTGTCCTGACTAAGGACACCGAGACACGGGAAAAGTAGGGGGTGACAAATATATTCTACACTGCCGCCACCACCACACAACTTTTTACAATGTAGAGATCACAAGGAGAACATATTATATAAATTATTATTATATAAAACTTATAAGTTTTGCTGATCAGATCGATCATTGTTAAAGAAGAATCAAATTAAAATATGTAAAAAAAAGTCGGTGCTTGCTCCTTGCTCCTACCATTAACTCTTTTCTGCATCACCCAAAGGTCAGACTGGGAGGAAATGCCTGTGGAATTAAGTCCACCTTATGTACACTTTGTGCATGAAGCGTTTATAAATAAAGAAATAAAAGCTGATGAATAATGATTTTTTTTATATATTTGATGGGCCGACGTTTAACCACTATCTCACCTAGTGGTAAGCGATAATGTGGTCTACGATGGAGCACGTCGTGATTTCAATAATACTCGTAGCGCTACTGCTACGCTACTGCTCGCCACCGCTACGCTGCTGTTACTCCACTGCTACGTCACAGCTACGCTGTAACTACGCTACTGGTACACTACTACTACTACGCTTCAGAAGTTGGTTCCCGTACAATTGGGTACTTTTCTTAGTCCCAAATAAATTATTTCGACTGTTCAATACAATAAACAATAAAAAATAATCACACTTTCATTAATTGATTTTATGACCAACTCAATTTCAGTATTCTTTCTAGGAAATTTTTAAGAAATAAGTACGCTTTTTGACGCTAAAAAAACGTGACGTCACAATACACAATCTCGTACAAAATTCATAGAAAACTGTCGTTTTTGACAGTTCGAAAAAAGTATTGAATTTGACTAGTTGGCGAGTACCCAATTATAAGGTATTGGGTTAAAAAATAATTATACCTAAGGGTTGAGTATTTAATTTTACTAAGACTTGCTATATGTTATGTAGCGCGTGGATCGAATAAGCAATAGCGTATAAGACACAGATTTTTGACTAAAAACGAAATTGGTTTCATTTAGAGCAATAAAGATCCTTTTGCCATACCTAGAATAGCATCCAATACATAAACCCACTCTAACCCTGTGCGATCACCTCTATGGAATGCCTATAAAAACTAAAAAGCAAAACGTAACAATAATTAATTAGACGATACGAAAACCAGTTAACCAGTTGCTTTTATCTACACAGTAGCTAGTAAAAAACACTATCCGCTAGTGTCAGTGGCCAGAGGCCGTCCCTACTTCTAAAGAGGTACATACTATGTATCTACCTCTAAGTACCTACGTTCAGAAGCCGCCTCACCTTGACGCAATCGAAGGTCCTATTAGACAAAAGATACCAGAAACCACCGAAGTGAAAGTAACGAAATTAACTTTCAAAAAGTAATAAATTATTAGTAATAAAAACTATATTTTATTTTTAATTTATGTTCCCTGTATTATGAGCGCGTTCACTTACACTTTCGCTGTTTAGCTAATGATGAATTTAAATTCACCATCTTGTTAGTGTGGCAGGTTACTTATCTTTCCAACAATAGTTTTGGTATCAGTAGGATAGTCTATCAAATTAAAGTCGATTCAGAGATGCACGCTACCTCCAAAATAGATCTTCAGTATCGTCCGAGTCATCCTATCACAATTTTCCAACATAGAACTCCAACGATTAGCCAAGTAAATAATAGGAACGATTACAGCGCATCGGAGGCAAGATCTCAATAAAATGCCATTGCTCTCAAGTGGTTTGCAATGTTGTGTACTTTTTATTCGTTTTCTCACAAACGATGAGGACTTACGTGTATTGCAAGACCAGTTCTGGATGCGGGACAAGAGCCCGGTGTAAATTTATTCCATGTACTTATAAAGAAAAATAAAAAACCAACAGAAATATTACACGTCCGCTCGAACTTATCTGGTGATTCAACATTGGTCATTTTTTATTACCAAAAAATTCAAGATGTGCAGATACATGAATAGTAAGCTGCTATAGACAATTGGCAACAAACGATTGTACCACATATCTACCACTTTACATAACCGATAGCTAAGTATAAAAAACAAGTAATTGATGGTACATACCGGCCGTACAGGGTCACTCCTAGCTTTCGGTTCGTGTAGTAGGTACATACCTACAGATAATTTGTAGGTACTTAAATGAGGTGTCATGACTTATTATTGTTACCATACAGGACAGGACAAAAAATAACAGGGGAATGGCGCATGCCCTGCTCGACTGTACAGCAATTTGATCATGTGTTTCAGAGCGGGAGTATGACGCGCATAGCACCTACTAATTTGTATGCAAAAGATGAACAGAACCACCTATCGATACAAAATGCTGTAGCAAACCAATACCTACTGTGATACCTACTCGTAAGACAATGATAAGATCTGCTTTAAACCGTCCCTTCCTAGTTAAGACTATCAACAACATTATAAACCTAATCGATTAATCTGGATTGATTGACAACAAGCTTATCGATTAAATAAGAATAGATAGATTAGATATCAATTCTTTCGACATTCTAAGATTATTGAAATCTCTTGAGATCATTGTTTTGATAGACTTCATGGCTTCAGCTTCACGAAGCAACGTGGCCACATCTGTAATCTTAAGATAATGTTCAGCTATTGACAGGTTCGATAACTACTAGCATAAACGCGTGCGTATATGAAGATAATGAAGCTACCTATAGCACGTGCCAAGGAACACGAGGTTTCGTTGCAAATATGGCATTTATCTATGGAATATCGAATTTAAAAATTTTAATAGTAACACAGTATACTAGTGGTTTTCCCAGTTGGCTACAACATGGGGTTCTTCAAGAGGGGAGTGAATAGGTTTCTTAAGGGTCGGCAAGACGCACGTAATGCCACGGTAACCGCTTACCATCAGGTGGACCGTGTGCTTTTTTGCCACCGTCGTGGTATAAAAAAAATACAATTAAACTATGTAATGTATGTTTGTATATAGGACATGCTACGTTAGTTAATGACAGGTTCATATTTTAATACAAAACAAAGACCCCATCGCATCTGTCTGCGATAATCTCGAAAACTACTGAACCAATTTTTGTGCGGTTTCGCTACACGCTGCTATACGATACTTGAACATCGCGGGACTAGCTATACACAGGTTCTTCTTCTTTCATTATATTTACTATTATATAATTTTCATAAGTGTAAATAAGTATTTAAATTCTTAGTAACTATACATTTTTGTACCATCAATCAATAAACTCTCATCTAATGAACCAATCTTACTTATAATAAGCATACTCATAAATTACACAAATAAAACACAAAATTATTTGGCTATTACATCTATATTTAAAATAAAATCATGTAGTAATGCATACTAAAGGAAGTAAACATGACTAGTTAACAATTTAACTAAACATAATGCAGTTAAGTACATGTAACGATATATTACGGTAGAGTACTAGTAATTATTTGTTATTGTATTTAAGGTGGGATAAACGCCCGATACTCAAACTACCTAATAATTTACAGAACTATTTGACAGGTGTAGGACAACTAGGTGTAAATGTGGAGATTGTTAAAAAAATTACTTACTGTTTGACGTTTAAATAAAATAAGCTGTTTAAAATACTTAAATCGTACACACACTGACAGAAGAAACGAACATTCTCCAGTTTTGAAGTCGATTAACACATTAAACGTATGTCGTGATGGCTCGGAGGTTTAAGGATATTTAAATAAAAATTAGTCATCTACCCTAACTTTTGTGAGACGTACTAAATTAATTATTATGTTTCTCATGCACGAGTATGGGGCTCGAAACCTACCAACGATAGGTACGAATGTGACTTTTTCCGAGTTAATATATGACACTTTCTAAGATTATTTAGACACCACTGACAAACGATTAAGGAAAACGTCGTGAGGAAACCTGGGCTTATAATTCGTGTGAGAAGAGGCTTTGCTCAGCAGTGGACATTTATAGGCTGTTGATGTGTGATGTGAACACATGAAATGCCATGAGGGTCACCGGTGACGTTAGCGAAGGATTTGCCTTCGACAGTTTTCTAATAACTGTCAAAGCCTTAACATTCAAGGTCTGGATTCAAAGAATATCATTATGTATCTAGAGTTTGAGTATACGGCGTCAATTTTGGTTTGGGAATCATAAATAATTAAAATAAAGTTTTATTTTATTATTTCAGATAGGAACAAACAATAAAATAGTAGACATTCGAACAATATAGTTGCAGTTTATCAATGGTCAAGTTACACATTTTTTACTACCTACTTATACAATTAAGTAATTTTATACTTTTACTTTTTCCAGATAAAAGTATGATATGAGGAATTATATATTTGAAGGGTAAAATTGATTATATACACCGTTACAACACCTATTTATTATTCAATTGATATTATTAAAATATTAAACGTGATTAACAGTTTTTTTATTATTTATTTTATCGGCCTTACACACAAATTATTGTTAATAATTAAAATTTAGAACGTTTTAACTTTTTTATAGAACTACTCTAGAATTTATTTCTGATTTCGATTTGCCCATTTATTGATAGCAAAGGAATTTATGTTGGATTTGATTATAACGAAAACCGAAATACAATTAGGGTTAGGCTGAAAACACTTATATTTGTAGACTCATATGACTTTCAATTATTAATACAACATTATTAAAGCTTTAAAACACGGTGTTAAAGCTTCATTCTGTACAGCAATATAGTTGAAAAAATTCTAAGTGTCTACTTATCTGACTGGTATACAGAGAGCTTCATATCTTTAGTAAAATGTAAATAAATAACATGTATGTATACTGTATAGGTCTACATTAAGTTGACGTGATACGGTGACACGCGAGCCGGTAGTGTGACAGCCATTCCCTTTACAAGGTCTATTACCAACTATTCGCCGTTCTCATGTTCACAACAAAAGAACATGTTATTAAAATTCCAAGATTCACGCTTCGTTAATCCATACATTAATACTATTTAATGTAGCTATGTATGTAAATCTAAGCATCAATTGTGGTTCCCATACAGAAACAGACAAAAACACCGAAAGTATCACACATTATAATTAAGTTTGGTGGTAATCAAGTACAAGTAATAAATATTTTTATTTTAAAAGTTTATTGCATTGACGTAAACACTCCGAATTTATGCAAGGACTTAAAAACACTAAAAGCTTAGTTTTAAAACTCAATTATGGCTTGTAATTGATTGGAATAAGGACTATTAATAAGTTAAGTCTATCGTACTAAAATTAAACTCTTTAATGATTTGGTGCCGACCAGACGTGCGTATTCTATGAGATCTTCAGTGTCTTTGGCATTTGTGTGCCTCTTGTAATGTCTGTATAACATTATGACTCCGTTCACCCACATAGGGATATAATTTATATCGCTTTCTTCAGGATAATTGTCATCCGTGCCGTCCACGTCAGGATTGAGCCTCGAGTATGGCGTCACTTCTAGCTTAGGAATACAGTCTCCCAATGGGAACCACTTATAGGTCTCTGGGCACAACAAGTCTGATGGGAAGAAGTTTCCTTTATACCGCATCTTACGGCAGGTGTGTATGTAGTATCCCATGTAGTAATACTCGATTTTTGGGCACACAGAGTGCAATTGTTTAGTGAACTCGATCTCCCTTAAAATAAATAACGAATTTCCGGAATTTCAATAGCATAACTTCAATTTAAACGGAGTTTGATGGGGAATTATGGCCATAACAGATACTCTGGATAACCACTATCTATCTACCAGATAATATAAAACGTAATTTGTATGTTAATTGGCTTACTCGTATTAACTGTTTGACGAAGAACTTAACTATTTTCTATCATCTCACGACAATACAATACGTAATTTGTAGGAAACATGTACCAGTTTTTATCGAGTTCTTATATTATTACGAGGGTTGTGAAAGCTCCTTAGTGTCATGCAATGAACGGCGACTATTTTTATTAAGTTTTAAAATTGCCTGTATACGGATAAAGAGAAAATAAAATGCTCTATTTAGAATAGCTCACCTCAGCGCTCCATAAGTTCCTAAAGTCATGTTCATATACTGCGGGTCGTAGAAGAAGTAAACAGAAGACACGCACTTGGGCAGTATGTCTATGACTCCGATGGCGATGATCTTGCCATCCAACCAGTACTGCTGGTGGAACGACCCGTACCCACTCTCCGGACCATCCTCGGTATGTTCTTCCTAATAATGATGAAGTCACATTGAATTTTGTGTCATATAATCTTATACTATTATATATAGCGGAAGATTATGTTTGTTTGTTTGTTTGAACGCGCTAATCTCCGTAACTAGAGTTACAAGTCTGATTTGAATAATTATTTTTGTGTTGGATAGTGCATTTATCGAGGATGGCTATCTATATGCTATAAAACATCATCAGAGCGTGTGAAACCGCGCGGAAGTAGCTAGTCAAGTAAAAAGTGTAATATCCATGTAAGAAATTAGTACTTATATAATTTTTTAAAGAATGGCGTATCAACAAAATACCTCGCCATGTAAAATTGTTATAGTACCATTTCGTCAATATTCGTAATTGTAATCCTTAACCACCATGCAAAACCTAGCGTGTATGGCCTCCTTAAGCAAACGATAGTGATGTAACTTGATTAATCAAATGATCTCTTTCAAAGTTTCTCTTTTTTAGCTATCAACCGTAATTTCAATCAAAGGACTTATCTATAAAAATAAGCAATTACTACTTACCAACAAAGGACTGTGTACTAAAAAGTCATGAAACTTTGGTTCCGTGCATTTATCAGGTTTGTCATCATGTATCGTCGTTTGATACTTGACATACACTTCATGAGACTGCTTCGACGTCGCCAGCCATTCAGGGCTAGGAGGTGCTGTTCTTACCAACTTTATCTAGAAAGTAATATTATTATTTAACCAAGAGAATAGTCTGTAATTCCTTAGAAGGGGATCATACCTGGTTATGTATTCATAGTGCAACCAAGATACACTCTGATATTCGATATAACCAGAGAAATTATAGGTGCAGAGGGAGATGTATCGTGCTATTACTGACTTTTCCGTATAAGCCCAACACTGATTTGCTCAATATTGGAGATCGCACGATCCCCAAATCCAAGTAAGCCATCGCACTTGCGACTGTGACTACCCAACCGACAAAGCAGATTCACCATAACAAACGATTTAGCACTACAAAAAACAATTGACGAACAACAACTCATTCGTACGATCGTTATCAATTGGGGAAACACGTCTAATGATTTGACTTATAATTCAAATGGTCATTGAGAAAAAATCACAATGGCTTCGAAAAAACTACTTATATTTTACATACCTCTAGCTTATGTTTGACATCATCGGGTAATTCGTTCAGAAAGTCCTCGAGGTGTTTCTCTTTGAACCTGGGCGTGTACGGAGGGACCTCGTTAATGCCCTTCTCTTTAAGTTTTTCTAATCGCCTCTCTCGCCTATACTGCTTCGCCTTCTTACGTGAGGGTTTATTAGTAATAGGTTCCTGTTCCTGCAATTCTGTAAAAGAATATTGATTTCATCTTTTTGTGCAAAAGTCATTTAGTTTAATTAGACTAATGCCCGAATACTGAAACGTTACTCAATTTTAAGTCACGCTTAAGTATAGTTCTATCTCTACAAATTCTTTGTGAAATGACAGAGATGGCACGATATTTAAGTACGACTTAAAATAGAGTAACGTTTCAGTATTCCGGCATAAGAGGGTTCTCAACGTCAAATAAATGTTACAATATGTACTATAGAGAAGAATTTTTTAAATAAAGATAAAACCGATTACAATATATTTTACTTCTCGAAATCCCGAAGGTGAAGGACTGTTTTTCAGAATTTAATGTACCTACATTGTTTACGACATGTTACAGTCCAATCTATTGTCAATCAATCAATGATCAATTTCAGGCTCTGTGCGCAGATTACTGAAAATTTCGAAAATGAACTAATGCATAAAAATATATTCCGCATTAGCTGGGCAATCGGCTGTCGATCGATTCTCTGAGATTTTGTATGTTCCTAAACGCACCCACAGGCCAATAAAGGGCAGGAGAAAATCCCAGCATAGTGACCATGTTTTAAAGTATCGATACATTAACCAAGTGGGTTAAAGGTAGATTCTAGACAGAAATATATAATACCTACTTATCAACTGTTTTTATTTTTTATTAGGTAAACAAATATATTGATTTGACATAATATGTATCATATGATATCTCACAGTACATTTTATGTTTTAATGATGACATAACAAGCTTATTAATGCTGTACTTAAATTCGTTTTATCTAAGTACTTTTTTATTTTAACTGCCTGCCTCGATGGCCAAGTGGTCGCAAGTGCGACTGCCGAGCAAGGAGCCTCAGGTTCGATTCCCGGGTCGAGCAAAGTGGGTTTTTAAAAAATTCTCAGTAGTAGCACGGAGACTGATATTGTGCCCGGTATATAGCAATAGGCTTACCTCCTTTTACATGAGACGCATAACATAAATAGCAAAATTGGGTGTCATATTGTACAGTGGTATAATTTGCACCTCTGCCTACCCCTTCGGGGATAAAAGGCGTGATGTTGTGTTGTGTAATATTTTTTATTATCTAATCTAACTTATTGACTGAACAGTAAAATGTATCATTTTGCTATAGTAAATTTCTAAAATTACATAATAATCATGTGGCCAGATCCCGACCCGATAATTTAATTTCTAAATCCAAATGGAAGTAATACATGACACAAACTAGTTATTTTAATATGTGATTTCAATATAATCAGTAATAATATAATAATGGCTGCTGAAATTTTGCCAACATTTGGCAATGTGTTTATTCACTCTCCATATTAACTGCTCAATCCCTAAGCGGTCACCAGTGACCACTCACAACTAACTCTATTATAGACCTTACTTCTGTTGATTTAAAGACTAGTTTTGTATGAACAAATTTTGAGTACAATATATTAACTACAGAAATGATTCTACTTTCTGTTACTTTGCTAACAAGAAGAGATTGTTTATCAAAGTCTACTAAGTCTAGAGGAAATTAAATAAAAATAGGTCAAGTATCATCAATAATTCTATAACAATGGTTCAATTATGTTATGATTCAAGGCCTAAATGTTACAGGTAAAGTTAAATTTTACAGAAACATCATGTTATTTTAAATTTTAACAACTTTTTTGAATGCCCAGTCGCCAAGCGGTCACCAGTGACCGCTCTCCACTTCCTCCATTATAGACCTTATTTCCGATGTTTAGATGTATTGTATTTGTATAAACAAATGTTGTGGATTTATTGTCATTGAAGTATATCTGATACTGCTAACATATGTGGTATGAATATAATATAATGTTATAACTAAGTCAACAATAGTAAGTATAAAAAAGTAATTACAAACCTTTCTTGACCACTTTCTCCTGTGAAGAATTGGGTTTAGGTTCATTTTTCTTTGCCAAGTCCTTCTGGGTGATACTATCTGAAAATAAACAGCCATAAAAAGTTAGATTTCTCAATATTGTTTAATAACTTCTAATCAGTGTGACGGTTAATTTAGATTAAAAAATGCGTCATTCTCAGCTTTGATTAACTATTAAACGTCTTTTTATTTACATTATGAATACTTATGTCCACAAGTCCATGTTAACATGATGCGGTGTAATCAAAATGTGGTTTCATCATCATCAACATCATCATCATCATCATCAACAGCTTATAAATGCCCACTGCTTAGCAAAGCCTCTTCTCACACGGAGAAGGTTGGAGCATTAATCACCATGCTTGCTCAATGCGGGTTGGTGATTTCAAACTTATAATTAGAAATTATAAGCCCAGGTTTCCTCACGATGTTTTCCTTCACTGTTTGTCAGTGGTGTCTGAATAATCTTAGAAAGTACATATAACTCGGAAAAAGTCACATTGGTACTTGCCGTTAGGGTTTCAAACCCGCACCTTCATGCATGAGAAGTGGGCGTCTTAAGCCTCCGGGCCACCGCAACATCACCGGTTAAATGTGGTTTAACCCAAAATAAAAGTTGCTGAGACTATAGGGTTCTAATTAGCATAACAGCCAGTCTTATGATATTGACTAGTTCTAAATGAATGAGGAATAACATCAAAATATAGGTTTTATTGCAATGACATAGAGCATTTAATTGAAAAACATAATATAATACAAACCTCCAGCTTGTTCCCCAGCACTGCAGTCTAAAAGTTCACTGTTCTTTATAATGTCAAAGTTCAAATCTTGATGGTCCCTCATAGTTTCAATGAACTGTTCACCTCCTTCCTCGAACCCTTCAGCCAGTACTTCACTACCACTGCTGCAGGTAGACATCTTCCTGTTACCATCACCTGCTGATGCAGAGGCATCTTGACTAGCCAGTATCTTGTTCACGCGCTTCACCACTTTCTTTTGAGATTTAGTCAGTTTGAACTCTAACGCTCTGCATCTAAATATCATACTTGATTATATTATTAAAAATATTCCAGTTAGAATTTTATAACACAACAAACAAACATTTCAGCAATAAAATAGCTCTCTGCATTATTGAGAATAGTTCATAATAACTATATACTTGACTGTACTGTTAATTTATACACTGTTTTGGTTAGGAATTTAAGACATTCATTCAAAATTATATTAAAGCTATGCATATTAAAAAAATTACATTGTTTATGTGTTTGACACGAAGATACAGAGCAAGCTACAGGCAGTAACTTTATGAAAGACATACAAACCGTATAGTATACATGGGGCAACAAGTAACATCCATTGTAGGCTTATAACAATATTTTCCTGACCGCCTCCATCCTCTATCAATTAAATCTTGATAATCGCTTACAGTCATGGCATGAGCCCACATACCTGAATGAATGCAATCACTTAAGATTATGATATAAACAGACATATTAAAAAAAATGTTTATAAACTTACCATGACTATAATTGGTATCAGGGCTCTTACAGTATCCACATCTATACTGTTCATGTTCTGCATAATACTCCACAATACTGCGCAGCATTTTGTATGTTATGAATTATTTCCACTTTAATATTCAGTTCAGTCAACAATAGAACTAAAATAGCTGACCCACCGAGTCCGAAGTGAATAAGAAAATAGGAATATTGTATGAATTATTCTGACAGTGACAAACGAAATTTGACAACAAACCTCAACAAACAACACCAATCCAGTTGTCATTTTCAATGAAGAGGGAAATGTTTTAAAAATGTCAAAATGTGGCATTTGTATAGATCTGAAACCGAGTCTTTTTACTTACCAATTTGTAATCATTTATTTTATCAACTTATTTCAAGTGTAATTCTTTATCAATTTCTAGTAATTTCTTTTAATGTAAATATTCAATGTAAATTTGTCTATATTATAGCGTTATTACTGAATGTTTCTGATCTAGTGACTAACCGCCACTAAATTATAAAAAAATACCTAAAGTCACGTTTTTTTCAGTTTTTACGTATCTTTTTCGGACAGCCAGAGGCATATTTTTACTTTACCAAATAAGTAATATAACAACTCTCATTAAATAGAAATAGCGACCAATAATTATATGTATGAGTGGCCATTGCCATACACCAGACCCAATTCCAGATTCAGTGCTATGACTTGACTGAGAACTTTTTAGGCGGTCGCTCTGGCAAACACTCTACTAACGAAGCAGAAAATAGTTTTTAAATCTTACAAACCATTTTTGATCATTTTATTTCAAATTCAACGTCGAGCAAAATAAACAAATAAATAGGCTACGGTAACAACAAGTAGGTGCGTTCTATAAAATACTTAGATAAGTTAGAAAAACTTTCAAACCATGTAAGTAAACCAGTCTTTATATTTTAATTTTGTGGCATCGTTAACATTGATGATCTGACACTGCCTTCTTCAGATATGTTGGACATTATTGACGGTAAAGGATTGATCGTGTATTTCCGCGGATTTATTTTTCGATGCCTGAAAGAGTTTGAACATATCGTAAACCTATTAATAATCGAGGTATTATAAAAATACATATTATGTGTTGTGTATACAATCAGACTTTTTAGTTAATGGACCGTGGCTAGAAACTACAGACTGCTACAACTACTATAACGACACTTGGCATAATTATACTTCTTTAACTTTATTTCATAGTTATGGTATGTACAAGGAATTCGCAATCGTGCCATGGAAATTAAAAGTAATTATACCTCTAGGTATACCAAGTTGAGTATGTTTTTTCAGGATCATAATCGGTAATATTCAAAAAAATACTTACACTCTTACTCTTCGAGTTTGATTCCATGGCTGTATTTCAGTTTCTCCCCATATTAAAAATATAAGTCCACTTAGTAATAATATTAGGGCATGGAAACACCAAATATGCTTCCAGACGACAGGTAGATTCTAAAATAAAATACCTATTAGGTAATGAATTTTATAGGGGGTAAATTGTAGGTACGGTCTATGGTGGATAATAAGACACGTCTAAGTCCTAATGTACATACCTATCCTATCTAAAACACCTCCTGAATTTCAATAATAATGATTACCAAAGCACCTAGTCTGGTTTGATACCCCATTTTCTAATAGAAAATTTACCTCAGTTTTGAAATCGATACCAGTAGACCAACAGGACATGAGGACAGTCACGTCTTCTTTGTAAACCTACCAATCAGATTGCACGTAATCATGGGCTTGTATGAACCTACATTAGGTACTTATATAAGAATTGCACATACAGGGTATTGTATTTAAATATATGGGTGTATTGTGTCCAAGGCTTGGACGTAAACTAGGTTTAAAATCACAGCACGCATGCACGTCCTATAGTAGGTAAGTGGATCAGGTCAAAAGTCGAAACCATGTGTTCACCATAGAACTACTGGAATTAACGTCTAGAGACTCCTGAGATATAAACTAAAATGTACTTACGCTAAATCTGTATGTCACTTGTCCAACACAAAGGGAGACTATTATACCCGATGTGTTTCCAATTATTTTGATAACAGTATTAAGCGAATTTACAAATGTTGGCGAAAGCTCCTGAAAATAGTATTAGTACTAAGCTAAACAATCATTATGTTTTATGCTTATTCACGTAGCTCGACTAGTTTCAAGACATGCCAAAGGCTCATATTCATGAGTTCACATTCACGAGTTCAACGTGAGCAAGCCGAAAATATAATATTTGATTTGTATGTGTCACGAAAGTTTTAATATAAACTAAATACCTTTCGGGAAATATTTTAATAATCCGTTTTCAGAAGCAAAAATTGTAACTATTTCTTTAAGAAGGTTTATTGAAAATACCTAAATTATTTGGTGGATAACTCGATGATAAACGTAGGTAGCGTGTTACTACTGATACGTACATAGCACAGGTCTAATGTAAGGTCCATTCCCGCAGCGGTCAAAGCCACAGCTATGGTTAGCAGAAGAGGGCCCGGTATGATAGGCAGCATCCACGATACACATATCAAAAGTCCTGGGATCACATGAGCTTAATCAAACAAAACAAGTTAAATAAGTACCTAATCATCAATTAGGTTCTAAAACACTTTGTACGTTTAATTGTTTTAAAATTGTACCTAAAAGGCTTAGAATTAGCTAATTCAAAATTAAAATTAGCTAAAAAAAACATCTAGTTTGTTTGAACGCGCTAATCTCAGGAACTACTGGTTGAAATTGAATAATACTGTAGTTGACAGTTAGTCAAATTCAATACTTTTATTAAAATGTCAAAAACTATACTTTTCTATGAATTTTGTATTGGATCGCAACCTGTGACGTCATCACATTTCTGCGTCAAATAGCATACTTATTTCCTTAAAATTTGCGAGATTTTTCACGTCATCTCATCTGATTAAAGCCGTATCGGCTGATTGTAGATCTGAGAAAAAAAAATTAAAAAAAATTTGCGAGAAAAAATCCAAAAGTTAATCGTCAAATCAATATGTAAAACTATCATTATCTTTTAATTATTTATTGCATTGAAAAGTCGAAACAATTTATTTTAAACTTAGGAAACTACCCAATTCTCTTTATCTTGAATAGTCCAATTATCGAGGAAAGCTATATGCAATTAAACATCACATTACGATCCGAGCAGTGAGTGAAATCGCGCGGGGAAAAAGCTAGTCTTAGATAAGTTAAGAAAATAAAATTTCTTACAGACAACAATAAAATATTTTCTTAAGTGGTTAATCTCTCTTACTCGTGGCCTATGTTTGTACTTGTGAAAGGTTTGAATAAGGATTGTTCCAAGCACTAAACGCAAGAAAAAGGGAAGCGCTGTAATTGCTGATGCCTGAAAGACGGAACAGATTTTTATGAAAACGAATATAATATCTTGTTATCAAGTTATAGTGTTGAGTATAAGATGGTGGTGCTTTAGTTTCTTTTTATGAAGAGGAATTAATTTAAATGTTTTATTAGGAAAACTAGAAAATGTATGGCATAATGTTGCCAGGCTTTCTGTTAGGTGATACCTGACCGCAAGAAATGTGCTGTAACACGCGTTGGTAGGTATATTGTAGGTATATTTATCACATAAACTAACACGTGCAAGTTATAGCTATCATATACTAAACTGAAAAGAATATCAGCTTAATTATTGAATAGCTAGTTATTTTTAATACTAACACTGTAAATGCTGAATTTGGAGACCTTAGAGTAGTATAATGGACCAAAAAGACAAAGCGAGATTATCATCCAAGAATATCCAAAGTTAAGGATGCACAGCGTCCAAAACGATGCAGATCTGACAATAAGATTCCAAGGAGCTTGAGAGTTAGTTATCTGAAATAGAATTTGGTAATTTTCCACATTTATGACTGTATGAGGAAATAACAACATATTAAATTAGGGCCAACTTAACATGGAATCTTGATGACGTCAAAACTTTCTCGTGTTTGTTTTCAACTGTCTTGTAAATATAAGGAGCAGCCATATTTACATAAATAATGTTGTTTATGTCACCAGAGAGTTGCGTCGACACGTCCTCGAAGATAATGCAAGAGTTTGTACCCATATTCCACTACCTTGTTGGTCGCAAGCGTGAGGCGTGAGTGAACACGAGTTCTTGGATTAAATTTCCAGATCGAATAAACCAATGTTTGTCGATTATGAAATCTCTTAAGTAAAACAGTAGATAAGTACTTAATACGTGTTTGTTTTTCGCATCAGTCTTCCTTATATCACTTGGGACCACGAAGATGTAGGTACCCTATCCAAGTATCATTGGGAAATACCTTAAATCATCTCTTAATATGAGTTGAGGCAATTAATTCGTAACAACACTTACTTTAATCGGAAATATGTCCCCAATAGTATTAATTAAATACGTCATTTCATCATTAGATATGTAAGGATGTTTCCTAGGACAATCTGTTACAATAAGGACCCAAGTAATTGACCAGATAATTTGCATTCCCCCGGATATGAAGAATCCTACTGGCCATCGAGAGTAGTAGTGCACTGCGGCGCACATAAGAAACGTGCAGAAAGTTCCTGTAGTAATACCTGGTGACAAATACATGTAAGTATGTGTAGATACACTTTTGCCGCCCAGATATTGTACCTAATGACTCAATACTATTCAGTTTTAGATGTGCAACATACAATTACTAGGTACTTATAATACAATAGCAACAATAATTTGCATGTGTAGATATGTGTGTAAAACAGGAGATTGGAAGTTAACTTACCACAGTAAGCCCACATAAAGTGGTTTCTCTCTATAGGTGGCACCCAGTGCCTCAGTACTTGAACCATGCTTGGCTGCATAGCGCCCTATATGAGATAGTAAGATTGTTACAAGATTGTTAACGTCGACTTATGGATCTTATTACAGAAATTACAAAATTGCTGCAATAATTAGGTGCGATGATCGTCAACATTTTATTCAGAAGACTGGAAAGATTTTATCATCTTGGCGTTGACATGCAACATGTACTAAATGTTTCCTTTGACGCCATTCGATTGAGGGTTACTCAGGTTCTAATAGATGTAAATAACAACACTAAACTTAAGTCTTCAGGATCTCTAGGTATAACAAAAACTATTCGGGTTCAATAATTACGTAGAAAGTACAAAATACGATACTAACAGCACAAAATCCCTCAATAAATCGTACCAAAAACAGCAACCAAAAGTGATAGTAAGCGGAGGCCGGTGTTAAGCAGCTTAACACTCCAGATGACAATCCAGCTATACCCACCACCCATGTAGGTCCCAATCTGGAATGCAAATAAAACTGAGTCCTATATTCAATCTAGTAACCGCCAAAATTGTTTAACAAGACAATTTTATTTAGAAATTCTAATTTTGAACAGGATAAACAAGCGCTATTTTACAAATTGACCAATTGCTACGCGTTTCATTGGACTGTGGTTTGTTTTACAAGGTTTCTTGTGTAAGTATTACTCTACAGTTAGAGGAAAGCACTACTCAGAAACGACTTAATCGCCGATAGTCGTTAGCACGTACTATTTATTTGTGTTATACAAAGCAAATGCTACTTGAGATCAATGTCGATGACGTAAATCGGCAAAAGTGTGTTTGTCTCACCAAGTAACGTTAATTTTTGTAATAGTATCAACTTGTTACCATATCTAATATCTATATTACCTACATATACCAATAGATTGGTCCAAAGGAATTACCTACTGAGTGTTGAGTAAAAGCTTTCATTAAACCTATTGGAAGTCCTCGAAAACTACTGTGGAAAGTTAGAGAACTTTAAAAATTAGTAATCTCGAAATCCAGTAGTTCAGAGTTACTACGCGGTCGCCAAATAATAAGTATCATAAACTTTATTTCGCTTACTTATCTCCAAAGCTATGGAAGATGGGGAAGCAGATGCAATAACCTATGTGATAGGCAGAGAATAATTTTCCAACTTTAGTATCATCCCAGTTAATTAAGTCCATCATCTGAAAAATCATGATGAAATATTTTATTCCAGATCGAGTTAACGTAAATTGCCAACAAACGTTAATTATTCGTTTTTTTTAGTTATTTAACTCGTCGAGTACCGGTTTTGTAGACACAATTATAGAACAATAGGTTGCGGTCACCGGTGACCGCTTGGTGTTTGACAGTTTAAAGAAATAATATTTGTTTTTATTGCTATTCAATCGTTTTAAGAATTTACATCACGATAAACTGAAAGACAATTTTGAAACAACTTCAACTTTGATATACTTATATTTATACTATATCACCATATTGTCTAAGTACCCCAGTCCTCTTAGCCGCACGTCTTTTCGCAACACTCTCTACATCCAGAAGGTCGTCATCTCTCTGCATCACTTGTGCCATATCGACTATATGAACACTCAAATTATTACGAACAACATAGATCAAAAAGTACCCAAGGAAAATCATTATTCCCACCTACAACAGAATTCAAATATTATAGAAGTAGATTACAACTCTGAATAACTTCATAATAATGCAACTGCTCACTATTGCACGTATCCTAATTTTAATCATTGTCAATGTCCAAAAATATGTGTAAAATGTCAATGTTAGGTTAGTAGGTACCTAGCTGAGTCATGACCAAAGGGAATCAAATTTAATTTGACTAATGAAAAAAATCTGATTACAAAGTCATGTGAGGAGTAAAATCACTCACATCACAACATCACATACACCACTTTTTTTTAAAGGGGGGAAAATGATCGAATTACTTCTCCCGCCTTAGTGTCAGACTCTTACTGACTGACTACAAACCACCCCGTTCCTACTCCTGCACTTAGAGCCGGAGCCCCGGTAACCTGTTAGGTTCTCCTCGGCTCCGTATCTATAGGGTAAAAGATAACGATAGTTGGCTACTAAAGTCTAATTCAGTCCTTATCGCAAAGTCAGTTAAGGTGTAGCATCTCAAAACTTGCTCCTACATGTTTATGTCATTTTTAAAAACGTTTTCTAAATGAAATAACCAAATCACAATCGACGTTTATTTATTTCATGATTGACGATGTTTTAAATAAGCCTAATTAAAATTTTCACATCAATCAAAATTTAAAATCCATAACGAGAATAACTCACAACTAAAAATAAAAACCTAAAACACAATGACCTCAGCACACCATAATTGGTGGCAATAAAATCACACGAAAATAGGGATATTATGTTAAACATTAATAATTAAAATCTATAACATTTATGAAATAATGTTGCCCTTCTGAAATATCTTCGACTCCACAACTGTCATGTCCCGTTACTCTTTAAATCTTATTGTGACATTATTCCAAAAACTTTCCAAACAGTCAAGCTAGTCTAAGCAATCATTTCGTCGTTTCATAAAATAAATCTTACAAAAATTATATGAAAATGGTATCAAATGTATTTGGTTACTAAACGTGATCCTAAATCACTTCTTGTCTGATATAAATATATTTTCATTCTTAATAAACTTAATTCTTTAGACAAGGTCGTCGTCCCGCAGTAGGCAAGATCAAAAAGTAGGAGCTTGCTACACAGCATATAAAATAACTGCTATGCAATTCCAGTACCTACACGGCAAAACCAGTGCGAGGCTATAACAGTCTACAGTACTAATGAACTATAAATACATTTATTAATACCACTGGGGATGCCTCCTAACCATAATACGAATATTAATTGTCATTACATTACATTTTCAATAAATTCAATAAAGATCACAGCGATTACAATGCATTTACATTATTTTAAGATTTACGTCATCATAAAATTTTAACAATAAGTACTAATTACCTAAACATAAATGCAAGTACATAAAATAAATAATACATTAATAAAACTGCTCGAAATGGTAATATTATTGTCAGTTTCAATTAACATTAGATTATAATAAAATATATACATTCATGTCAACATCAGAGCTCCTATTATAGAAGCGTCCCACTAGGCAGTATCTTAGGTCCAATCTTAATAAATGCACTTTACAGAGATACCCTGGATATAGCCACTATTAATTTTATAATTCTAAGCCCCATATCTTAAAAATCAATTAAAAATGTTTCACAATGGAAGGACAATTGTAACAACTCTATGTATAGCGACCGACACTTCTATAATACAACTCTAAAAGATTCAGAAATCACTTATTTATACAATTCCGTCATTTGTGTAATTTAATATAGGTGATAGAAAAAAAATCGTCTATATCCTAGTATCTATTTCTTTTTATCACATATTTGCAGTACATCTTTTACATCGACATGATGTCGACGATCGGAACTATGATTCAAGTTATATTCCCAGTCGCGCTCTCTTATGCCCATTTCATTTTACTTGGAAACATTTAAAGCAGTTTCTTTTATCTCTTTCGTTTCACCATTTTTGGGTGGTGTACCATTCATTTCTTTGAGATCTCCATTTGACTTATCATCTTTACCCTTATCTTCAGGGGGGAAGTTCCATGGTTGGATGTTTCCAGTCCCAAAGAATATGAAGAATAGTGCTGATATAATATAAACTGATGCTCCCACGAAGAAAACTGGACGCCAGCTCTCGAAACTATTCTGTGAGCAAAAAAATGTAGTGTTATTTTTATCCAATATTTTTTAAAATATAATTAAGCGTTGAGTTAGAACTAATTATTACACTGATATGTTTTAACCAAAGAAAATTGTATTGTAAAAAAATCAAATAACATGTCTAGCAGCGTACCTATATTAATTGTTTTAATTTAGAATAACTGATAAGCCCGCTATGTTTCTTAGTTAATATCATCATTACAATTAAAATTATGATAAAATAATAAACATTGTCTGATACGTACCCCTGAACTTGTAAAATATGCGGTTATCATTGGTGTGAAAAATCCAGCGGTACTGCCAACACAATTAGCGATTCCATACAAGGTTCCTGCATAATTCGGGGCCAAGTCTTGATGGTTTTGTAGGTTGGTCAGTGTCGCGGCGCCGTTGAATCCCATTGACATTGTAATCAGAGACACTGATAGCGCCGTAGAGCATCCAGCGTACACAAGCAACACTAACAGGACACCAGGCAAGATATGGGAGAACAGACAGAAGAATTTCCTTATAACTGTCGTCGACATCAGTTTCCTTGCCAATATGAAGTCTCCAACCACACCGAATATTGTCGCAAGGAATAATCTTGCAAGGTATGGAAGAGCAGATATCACTCCTGCGGCTGACAACTCGAATCCTAAGACGCTTGAAACGAATTTTGGTCCCACTGTCATTATAAAGTATAAGCCCCACAGATTTCCGTAATGAAGAATGGTCATAGCCAAGAACGGGAATGATGTTATAATACTCTTGAATGGGGGCAATCCCTGAAAACAAAAAGATGTATTGTAGTACATGTGGCAAATGTTACAGTTTCAATTAACATGGACAGGGGACACTCGTACTTGCATAACAAACATTTACCTTTACACAGTACCTTAAATATTATTATTGATGATGTAATGGGGTTTTCGCTAGACATCCCACCCATCAGTAGACTTTATTATTTATCCACAGTTAACTATGTACCTGAACGTTTGCCTAACCGATATATTTGCCAATTAGCATCAACCCGAACAAATTCAAACGATTCACTATAATTCTTATATCTCGCTGAAGCGCGAAACTAACCTTAACATGACAACGTGATTGCAAACATTATCTCACCTTTGATTTCTTGACCTTGTCTCCTAATGCGTCTAATATGTAATTCTTTTCTGCTTCGGTTATCCTAGGATGTTCTGACGGAGTGTCAGCCACGAGATACCACCAGAAGAAACACCAAACTAGAGTCAAGGCAGCAGGTACGTAGAAAGCTGATGCCCATCCAAACTTTTCCATGAGAGGTCCGGTGAGCGACCATGTTATCACCGTCCCCAAAGTTCCTCCCATCATAGCGCTGACGAACTTGCCTTTTTCCGCGGGTGGGGCCCAGCGAGCCACCAACACGTGAAGTGCAGGATATATAAAACCCTGGAAAGTAGAACAATCATTTACCGTTTACAAACGTGTTTAAGTAACGATCCCGTTGTGATGATGGCACATACCAATACACATCTGATTCCATACAAGGTTAAAAATGTCATTAGGCATATCTTAAGGACCGGTAAATTAGAAAATTACCATCCTATTTGATTTGCTAATAGAATACTTGATTGTTTTCGTTGCGAAATATGAGGAAGAGACTTATGCGGCCGATATTTTTTTTAACGTATGCGGTCATTAGGCGATCAACTTAATATTTGTTTGTCTATGAATGATTCATTAAATATTGGTTGTGCGACAGCTTACACGTGACCCTATAGTTGACAATTTCAATTAACATAATGTATAACAAGTTATCCTATAAATGGTTCTCAAACAATGCATTAGGAATCACGTTTTTGCTAAACAGACAACGTTATTCGTCCTTTCGTCACTTTGTCAGTTCACACTCGAAGTAGATACTTTTCATTAAGGCCTGCTTTAAACACTTTTTATAAGTAAGTAAATTATAATGCAAAATTATAGTTATCAACCTGCATTTGGACAAAGCCCTCTTCATTTTAAAATATTACTCAAACAAGTTTATTTTATACATCAAACATTGCGGTTGGAATTCTACGGATTCACATAATATATAAAACTGATAGACGTAACTTCAAGGAAAACGAACAGTTAAGATATTTGGAGTCATAATAATAGAGATTAACTTTAAAAACTTTTACGATAACTACTCTAATTACAATTTATGTCGTACCTAAAACTTCTAGGATAACTGCTAAAAAGTGACTATGATTCCCCTTTGTTTCCCCTTTCGACTTGATTTCTGTTATATGTAATCTAAGCCAGAGACCATAATAATTTGTGAAGTCATATGGCAAGTCATATTCATTTAATTTTCATAGTCAATAACTTTAATTAAAGTCAACTTACCCCAGCACAGCCTAAAAAGAACCTTATAACCACTAAAGCTATATAGCTCAAATTTGCGGCAAATGGGCTGAGGGCTGTCAATACGGCACTGGCGAAGGAGGACACAAGAACGACGTAGCGCGGGCCCCATCGCTCAGCGGCCATGCCTCCGATCAGTGACGTCACTGGGTAACACCAGAAGTATGATCCGAGGATCAACGCCTGCTGCTCCGCTGACCAGTTGAACGATGCACCTCCCGGGATTTGCTAAAAACAAAAGTACATTATATGCAAAGAAAATACATAAATACACACGGTTAATAAGAAAGTCTTTCTTAAAGATTGACAATTGGTTAAGGAAAGATTCCCTAGGCTGTTCTGTAACTGTCAATTCGAAATTTTTGAAGTGAACTCGATCGCATTCTCGCCAATCATTGGTCGAGATTATTCTCACAACCAATGACATGGTGGATCGTGATCGAGCTCCCTTCGATTTTTCTTCGATTTTTTGTTTTGTGATAAGAAAACTGAGATTATTTTTTGTTCTGATCGACATTTAAAGATTTTCTCAACTAATAATGATACAATACAATATTAGGTAGAAGTACCAACACATATATGGACGTACACAAATAAGTAACATATATAAGCGCAAATACACAATCCAAAAACGAACTAAGTGACATCAAAGCAAATATTTGAGTATTTATTATTTGAAGCGCTCATCGACTAGTCGTCACTTAGTACCTACTCTTAGATATATGTTCACGTATGAAAAATACACTGAACATAACCTCTATAATAAAAACCTTGTGCATATAAATATACGTGTCCCTTCGTCCAGCATACTCACCATGGAATCCTGATATTTCATGAATGTCAAAAAACTGTTCTGAAATAGTGCTAAATAGTGCCCAAAGGAAAAAAATAGTGCTCTTGTACTTGCGAAGTTATAGCCATAGTTCGATGAGTATGCTGGACGAAGGTTTCGCCCAGCATACTCACCTCCGTCCGGAGAATCTGTATACGCTTCAAACATAATTCATACTTCAAAAAATAGTTCCCAAATAGTGCCAAACGGTGCCCAAAAAGAAAAAACAGTGCTCGAATAACTTCGGAGTTATAGGCTTCGTTCAGTGAGTATGCTGGGCGTAGGTTCTACGCCCAGCATACTCACCTCAGTGCGCGAATATCGAACGAGCTATAGGTACAATTTACGTCTCAAAAAATTGTGCTTGAAATAGTGCCCAATATCAGTCCAATTTTTGCTTGACTTTTGACCTAGAAAACCATTAAATTTGATTGTAAACTTCTACATACATTACATTGAGTACAGTCGAATACAATATTATTAACTTTCTTTCTAACAATTTTTGTCTTGTGTAAATTATTAATTGTCTATGTAAGGGAGTATTTACTTTAGAATCGCAATATTATTAATTACACATTATTTTAATAATACTTTATAATAATATGATTAAGCCTTCGCGCGTCGCATGGGACCCCGGTAGCTAGGAACAATGATTTTATATATTTTGTCTAGATCACGGCGCTTGAAGGATTAAGATATCAAATGAAGTAAATCATGCATGAAAAATAAAGTTGCTGTTATTAATGCTTACATTACAACTGACAAAATTATTCAAAATAATCATTTTCCGGATCAAGGACGGTACCACAACGTTTACGGAATTGACCTGTATTCCTCATGTGATAAAGTTCAATATAGTGTGGCAGTAATGGATGCACGTACGGTCAATAGGTATGGGGCTTACGACGCGCGGCGCCCGCGACGCAAATGAATATGTTTATGTTTAAATACTAGATGGCGCTGCCCTAACATCTTCGTTTTTTATTGCTAAACCTTTCATTGATGAAACTATTGGAAAGAGTTTTAAAAATTTGTATAACTATGTCACAGTACTAGTTTTGACTGGTTATAAGTTTTGCCTGCAACATATATACAAAAAGAAACTGTATAATTTCCTTTTTACAATTTTTCAAGATATTAATTTTATTGGCTGCAAATGACTGTTTTTATTCAGACAAACACACAATGCAATGAAGTAATAGACTTCATTTACGCTTAAAGTTTCATTCATTTATTATTATTTATAAAATATATAATAATGCATTTAATCGAAAGTTTTTGACATGTGAGAAAATACCATAATTATTTCCAATAACATGAAGTCTACAATTAGAAAGTTTAATATTTTTGTCCAAAAACATGTGTCGACGACTGTACCCCATTTTACGTTAGTATGTAGAAGTTTACATTAAAATTTAATGGTTTTCTAAGTCAAAAGTCAAGCAAAAATTGGACTGATATTGGGCACTATTTCAAGCACAATTTTTTGAGACGTAAATTGTACCTATAGCTCGTTCGATATTCGCGCACTGAGGTGAGTATGCTGGGCGTAGAACCTACGCCCAGCATACTCACTGAACGAAGCCTATAACTCCGAAGTTATTCGAGCACTGTTTTTTCTTTTTGGGCACCGTTTGGCACTATTTGGGAACTATTTTTTGAAGTATGAATTATGTTTGAAGCGTATACAGATTCTCCGGACGGAGGTGAGTATGCTGGGCGAAACCTTCGTCCAGCATACTCATCGAACTATGGCTATAACTTCGCAAGTACAAGAGCACTATTTTTTTCCTTTGGGCACTATTTAGCACTATTTCAGAACAGTTTTTTGACATTCATGAAATATCAGGATTCCATGGTGAGTATGCTGGACGAAGGGACACAAATATACTGGGTGTAAACGGAACGCTCCCGAAATACTGACAAAATGAAATGGTTTTTACAATTTTAATCACTATATAGTATAAAACAAAGTCGCTATCCACCATCGTCTGTTTGATGCGGTTTTTTTTAATAGACGGAGTGATTCTTAAGGAAAGTTTGTATGTATAATACATGCACATTGCACCCGTGCGAAGCCGGGGTGGGTCGCTAGTCGTTTATATTAGTCGCGGAGAACTTAACGGGTAACCGGGGCTCCGGCTCGACGTGCAGGAGAAGGAACGGAGTGGTTTTTAGTCAGTAAGAGTCTGACACTCTGACAGCAGTCATTCGATGATTTTCCCCCCTTAAAAAAAAAAGTCGTTTATATTTTTGTGTTATACATACAGCCTTGATTATTTGATTATAACTATAAGGTAGTTGCCTAAATTTTATTTTAATGTCCGTCTGGTAGATTAATTTAATACATTAGACACGTATTTTTTATTTTCTCACAAAATTAAATACTTTCGACGATATATTAATATGAAATATCGTGTGACGGCACAATGCGCTACATTTTGTAGCACTTTGTGACGTAACGACCTCCCACTCCTAAACTTAACCCCATTTGATCTAAGTATTGTAACTTTATACGAGAAAAAAAAAATACCTGTCTAATATATTTTCATTATCTTACTGACGGACTAATTACATTTTTAATTTTCATCCCCTGGCAACTACCCTATTATTGCATAAAATAAATATTTAATTTAACTTACTTTTATTAATTAGCATTCCGTTTACACCCTGTATGTTACTTGTACCTATTTTATTATAAGAAATAACAGGAGCTCATACAAGTTAGATAGGAGTATTAAACTCATGTGGGATTTCCCTTCGGCATTTCTTCGCTATATTTACGAAGCATTGCAATTTACCTTTACATGGGAAGCGTGTACATGAACACCGTCGACACGGCGAAGAGTTTCATTTGTCAACACGTCATCTTTCGGGTCGCACTGGGAACGTGATCTGATGGAAAATAATAAACTTCAATAATCATGTCCACATTATAGCAGACGAAAAATACAAATAATATCGAAGCTGATTGATATTATATTGATATTCGGGTGTAATTTTTTTAAACTATATTTTCTTTAACTTTTTTATATTTTTGTAATTTAATTTAATTTAATTTAATTGCTCTAGTTTTGTATTCGCATGATGTAATTCCTTTTTAACGAAGGGTTACAAGGCTATTGTAATTTTTGATGGGTTATATTTCAGCATGTTTGTGTATCTTTTGTTGGGAGCCCAAATAAATAAATACTTAAAAACATTATTTTCACTCCTTCACAACAATCGTCATGTGAAATAAAGTCATATACATAGGATTTAAAGACTTTGATTTGTTAGATTACTCTCATAGCTTAACTCGTCGAGTACAGTTTTAACTTCAAGATACCTTACTAAATAGCATTGAAATAATATTGAAATACATTTTCCAATAAACATCTTTAGCGACAATAATGACCACATTGCACTTCACTGATTTAATAAACAAAACAGATTATTATCTACACTTTTTAATTAGATAGGTATTGTTCTTTCTGTATTACCTACCTATATAAAGTGTAGAGAGTCGTAAAGAAAATATTATTTTTCCCTGTCATAACACTCATTATTACAAGCAATAAGTTTCATTTTATACGCCGCCGCCTACGTCAATGGAAGATCTCCGACAAGTTGCTTTGAAAAAACTTGTGTAGGTATATTAATGTATACATTAATTAATTAAAACGCACATCTCATCATAACGGTCTCGACTGTGTCAACACAATTCTACTTCGTGCATCGTGCTAAAAATAAATATCTACATTTCTGCGCTATTTTTTATAATACCTAATGTCAAAATTCTATCGAAGATATCAACTTTAAATAGCTCAGCCTTGACTTTTTGTATACTTTTCTTCAGTGTAAAGCTAACTACTAGGTACCTCTTCAAGTACGCACGCTTAGGTGAACCGTGGCAGTCCGTACGATCGTATAACGGGGGTAATAGATTAGTATAATCAGTACAATGCATGTTAGGAGATAAAACCGTTGCCATTTATCAGACACAATTCCAAGCTCTTAGCTAGATAGAAGGATAAATAGGTATGACATTATAGTTGCGAAATATGAGTTTGTAATTTTATTTATTCGCAGATCTAGGAACGAACGATACTTACGTGGAGCCATTGGAGTGTGTCTGTGGTACCATGGCAATAAGATTGAGACTCATATTCACTCGGAGCATGTACACCACCCAGCAACTGGTGAACAGCATCACCCACAAATTGAAACGCACTGGCACCACATCTGCGAAAATAAAGATTTATTTTTACATTCTTTTCTAGTATGTTTTGTACTGAAAACTAGACATTATTATTCCTACTCAAGAATCGTATCAAAGTACATTCGAAAGTTTTTTTGTATATTTGACTAGCAACCCGCCCCGGCTTCGCACGGGTGCAATGTTCGTGTATTATACATATAAACATTCCTTAAGAATCACTTTATCTATTAAAAAAACCACGTCAAAATCGGTTACGTAGTTTTAAAGATCTAAGCATACATAGGGACAGACAGACGGCGGATGACTTTGTTTTATATGGGCCAAGGTTTTACCACTATCTCGCGTGGTGGTAAACGATGATGTGGTCTACGATCGAGTATGTAAAGTTTTTGAGTAATAAAAATTATGTATAATAAGTACCTATTTAAGACTTTGGATACTTCTGCTCCTGTAAAGTAGAATCTACAGGAGACACCAACCAGCAAAAGAAAGACCATTAAGCTCAATGCGTAGGAACATGGACAAACCCGTCTTGGTTCCGCAAAGCAATTAATGTTAGTGTCATAGAGGAAAAAGGCTTCGTATATTAAGATTATGTGAAGCTTCCATGAAAACATTGCTTTATAACCTTTATATAATGATTGCGACGATATTAAATCGTAAACAACAATTTCGAAACAACTGTGAATCACTTTAAAACGAAAGTTTATTCGTTGTATCTATTACTTATAACATAATTATTATGTGACTGACTTAACGACAGACGATCAAAATAATTTTTAATAATGTTATATTATGTAGCCACAATATACCTATGAACATCTAAAATACAATTAAAATTAATTATTATTAATAGATGCGTAAAAGCATGGATAAGCTGAGATACAGTATCAACAGTATTTCCAAGGTCCTGAACGCCATAGAAGCATGAAAACCTTCTTTACTATTGCAATTCCCCGAGTTTTCACCTCTATGCTCCTGTTCCTAAATATAGTATCGTGGTTCTAATGGACTTTATAAGTACTTTCTTAATCTCTGACTTGATGCAACCAATAAATTATTTTACGTAGAATAACCAAATATTTATTGATCTACGAGTTTAAAGTAGTTCTCAGGAATATCCCCTTATTTACCAGACAACAAGTAACTTATTATGGGTTCTACCGTCATAGAAGAAAGGCGAGAATGTATGCCATGTTTATAAAACTTACGCAGTAATTCTACAGTCGACTTCACACTTGTCACCCCTTTGTATTCTAACTTCACCATTTTACTTTATTTTATTATAATCAAATGTTAACTAAATAAGTAAAAATATGTTAATCTAAATATTAAAATATAAACTTGTCAAAATAACTTTTCTGACAAATCAGAGTTTGACAATTTGATATTAAAAATAAACTATGCGTACCTATAGGTGAAAAAAAAAGGTTTATTAAAAACGTGTGCGATTCCCAGAAAACAACTCGGTACCTATAAACATATTATATCAATGGTTTGACCTGGTGAATTAATGGAAATTTGTAACAGGTCGCTGCCCACCTTGTGGCTAGATGTCCAACACTGTGCTTGCTGGAACGTGGCCGCCATTCGAGAACTTTTTGCCCCATCAACAGCCGGTTAAGTAAAGGAAAATTCGTAGTAAAATAGCATTAATATTTCCTCCATTAACTAAACAGGTAAGTAAGTTCTATCTCCTACCTACCTACCTACCTAACTTCCTTGTCAGTAAAATAGCGTACTTAAAGAGAATTTTCCCTAAACTTTCAGTCGTCGTTGCACGAATCGCTATACTAACATAATCAAGAGGAATGAAATTGTATTTTAGTTTGAATATTTACTTATAAACGTTCGAATTTGACCCTAAATGAAATCTTTTGACAAGTAGCAATCAAATATATTAGCAATCTATAATTTTTGACTGTGATAACAGTATGATGAACTCTCGCACGCAAATAAGCGTAATTCTATAACTTCTTCAAACACGCAATTTGTAAAATATTAAAATTGTGCAAAATGTTGCGTTAAAGTTTGAACCAGGAAATCAATTTGTCAGTTATGATATGACGGTCGCATAAACAGTTCAGTGTCCCATGAAACATAAGATGGGCACATTATGCCGATCAACCAACCATACCTAATAATACCGCGGTTAATACGTGTCTGGCTACTTAGCACATGTACCTAATGATAGGTAAATTGTTCCTACAGAGATGACAATTCTAATCTTCTAGATTATAATCTAAATAAAATCCTATATTAAGTACAAATAGAAGCTGGTTCTTTCGTTAGACGTTCTTGAAAAAAAAAATATTCAAAATATTATAATCGAATTTAAATCAAGTAATGGCCTCCGCTTTAGTCACTCGTATGAATTCCATGAACCTACTACGTACTAATGTTCAAAAAATTACAGTAACAAAAAATAAATAATGATATTCCGCTACTATCCATTTTGTAAACGATTGTGTACATAATATAATAGGACGACTTCTTTGTTTATCTGGTCGATGAACAAAGGTTTGATGGTTTTCAATTTCTTTTATATACCATCGATGTATATCTTTTATACATACATAATGTAGATTTTTTAAGAGGGGAAAAATCATCGAATGTTTCTCCCGCCTCGGTGAGGCGGAAGGGAGTGTCAGATTCTTACTGACTAAAAACCACCCCGTTCCTTCTCCTGCACTTCGAGCCGAAGCCCCGGTAACCCGTTAGGTTCTCCGCGACTCCGAATCGGCATCAGCCCTATTGGGCCTCATCCGTGGTGGTCTGATGGCTCTTTGAGACTCGCGCAGAACGCGACGCGCCGTACGCTCGGGTCTGGTTCGAGTCGGGCGGCGAGCCCCCTATGCTCGCCGTCCGCAGGCCCGCGCTTACGGTAGCCGGAGATCGTCCCGCGATTCCCGACACCCGGAGTGTAATTCGCGATGGATGGGTTGCGAGGAGGCAGCTCTTCGCTGCCTCACGCGTCCCACCTCCTCCTTAGCTAGCATGACTGCTTCGCAAAAGGAGGAGACGGCATCCCAGTCCCAAGCGAGAGGTCGCCATCGACATAATGTATATTAGGGGCATAATAAAATAATGGGCTATTTGTGTTCGCCTTTAATTTAAAATATTCTAATAATTATTGCATATGCAAAATTATTTGTGAAACAGGTGTTTAATACGGAACCTGAATGTTTGATGTCTATTTTAATAAGAAGATGATGTCAAGTCAAGTATCTTTATCAAAAGCGACATAGAGTTATATTTTAAAGCATTATTTAGCTGCCACAAAAGTAATTAAACTGTGGCATTATAAATAAATGGTGTCTGCGGTTTCTTTATAGTTACTTTAATCTAAAGTAAAGTACGAGTCACGTAATGTTTGTACTTAAACAAAATATTTGCAACTTCATTTTTTCGCAATCAAAAAAAAACGCGTTAGTGTCATCTTTTTACTAGTTGTTTTTCTTAGCAGTTAATGGTTTTAAGAAGATAAAAATAATAATTTACTACCTTTTTTTCGAGAGGGAAAATCATCCGATGACTTCTCTCACCCGAGTGAGGCGAGAGGAAGTGTCAGACTCTTACTGACTAAAAACCACCCCGTTTCTACTACTACACTTCGAGCAAGAGCCCCGGCAACCCGTTAAGTCCCCCGCGGCTCAATAATTTACTACCTACCAATTCTTTACAAATATTCTTGTTTGGCAGAAAATATTAGAATCATTCTTTACACACGGCTTTTCCAGAACCAACGAGTGCCTAATCTACGTACAAGACTCGGTATTCATCTCCAGACAAGGTGTGTAACCGCATGCAAGTGATAGAATCGTAAAATAATTGGAGAGATCGTGGTAGAATTTTTCCTTCCTCCTACATGACTTTTTTTAAGGGGAGAAAATTATCAAATGACTTCTCCCCCTGGGTGAGGCGGGAGTGAGTATCAAACTCTTACTGACTAAAAACCACCCCGTTCCTACTCCTGCACTTCGAGCCGGAGCCCCGGTAACCTGTTAAGTTCTCCGCGGCTCCTCCTATATAGGATATAGTTACATATACAGGTACCTGTGCATGTACCCATTATAATATTTTGATGAAATGCATTCTTCCATTACTGTCTAACAAATAGCCATTGTAAATAACTTCATGCACAGCTCCTAATCACAATAATCAAAAGCGTGTCAATATCTTCATTTATACTTATCACTACAATTAAAATAAATGCGGAAAACAATAGGAAATGCGACACGGCATTTGTAATCAAAACGATCATAACGTTTATATGTACAGAAAAAGTACTTAAACCTAATATGGAAAATCTCATAAAACATGAGTGCGTTACTTGAAAGATTACTGCTTCACGTATAACGAGCAGTGTTACTGAAAACAAAAAATATATTACTAAACTTGGCAACATTATTTTGTAACATAAACAATGCAGAGAATACAAACTCGTATCAATTTTTACAGCCTCAAAGACGTTTCTGGTCAATTATTATGTTTTCAGCTTACACACGTAATCATTTGAGGAGGAACTCGACTACAGTAGCAGCGCGACAGTCGCCGCGTCGCAGGTCGCGAAATGCTGCTCATAAATATGAGCCTCTAGCATGGCTTGAAACTAGTCGAGTTCCTCGTCAAATAATTACGTGAGTAAGCCGAAAACATGATTTAGTATGTTTCACGAAAGTTATAATACAAATACGTTTATGGTCCTAATAACAAAAACATTCTAATTACCTCTTTCAAAGTGCGTAGGTACGTATGTATGTATAACGATATCATTAAAATATATTTCAAAGCACGAAACTGTAAAGTTTTAACACAAAGACTGACAAAACTACGTTATGAATGTTAAAACTCAAAAGACATAACTGGCCTTAACGAGACAATGGTCCTGTCCTCAAATATATTACACTTAGAACATTATACCAACTGTATCTAAGTGACAATGCCATTGCTTTCTTGTGATGATTTACCAGAACCAAGTCATTAGCCAGTCAATGAGATTTGCGTTGCTAGAGGCCTAGCG